TTATAAATAAAAATTAACTAAAATAAAAATGAAACCGAATAAACAAAAATAAAATAAAAAAAGGAAATAAAAAAAATAACGCTATTTGTATTAAAAAAAAAAATCCAAATAAATCTAAAAAAATAGTAGGAAAAAAATAAATAAAAGAAAAAATAAAAATAAATATTCTGTAAAAAACACAAAAAACAAAAAAATGGTGTAAAAGATCTACAATAAAAAATCATAAAATAAAGTAAATAAAAAAATAAAAAGGATCTAAAAAGAAAAAGAAATCTAAAAAAAAACTATAAAAAAAAAGTTATTTTATATCTTCTCTATAGCAAGAAAAGGCTATATTAAGAGATAATCGTGTAAAAAATTTAGATGCTTAAAGTAGAAATAAAACAAAACTAAAATAAGAAAATAAAATAAAAATATGTGTAAAATGTTAAAAACAACGTAAAAAAATGTAAAAAATAGATAATTTGATTACAGGTTTTATAAAATATGAAAAATATAATGAAAAAAAAAAAAAATGAAAGCTAAAAAAAGAATTATTTATTTATGAAAATAAAAGAAACAAAATAATAAAACAGTAATAAAATATCAACCTGTCCTCTAAAAACGATATAAACAAAATAAGAAAAATTAAAAAAAATATATTTTTGCTCAAAATCTATAAAATAAGGATAAAATAAAAAAAAGAAAATAAAACAATATACATTAAGCCAAAAACAAAAAACAAATTAGCAGCAAAAAACATAGTGAAAAAAAAACAAGTCCCTCCCTCCCCCCCGCCCCACCCCCCCACCACACACCCCCCCCCCCCCCCTACCCCCCTCCCACCCCCCATCCCCCATCAAACCCCCCCCCAAAACCAGTGCCGGGCAAGATCCTGTTTTTCCCGTGCCCGATACATGTTGCACACAGAACAAAACTCAGGAAAAATCATCTAATAACACATCCTGACAAACGCCCAACGAATTCTAGAACCATATAGTCCAATGTGATTAGGATAGTCTTAGTGATATCAAGTTCAATCCTAAAAACTACGAGCATTTGCTGACGAGAGCCAACCGACGTAGCTTCTGTCAATTTTAAGGTGTTTACCAAAATTTCAACCATACCGAAAAGAATACGAGGTGGATAGATAAGGAAAAAATAAAATGTACGAAGACAAAGAACGAAATCCATTATTCGGCATAATCGGGAATTTTCCACTGTGCCAAATCCACGTCAATAGGAGACCATTTAGTTGAATTTCATGATACTAATTGATGAAAACCGAAAAGGTAGGAACCTGGATGAACAAAAATATCCGCCAAATATCTAAGTCGTTGATAGAACAGTCTTAATAGAATGTGAGTACTTGATCAAAGCACATAACCAGTAACTAAAAAAACTCCCCAATAATAAAGCTTAGAATGAAAAAAACATCGATAATTAGCATCCAAAGGAGGTCTCTTAGAAGGAATATAAATCCATAACTATAAAAATATGACATGGAAGTAGCAAGGTTACAAAAAATTCCAAATACTGAGATTACATCAAAGACGAAGGAAACACGGAAGATAGAAGAGCTGTTCGAAGATCCGGAAAAAACCGCTAACCGCCAATCCAATGAAGCACTCACGAAGAAAGGTAATATAATTGTTTCGAGCCATGCAGAAAAAAAACCGCCACCAAACAAACCATGGCGTCCTTGAAGCTTCAGAAAGGAGCCATGCCGGAACTCCGTGGGCGAAAACCCTGACAAAACACTCCAGAACAAAACAGTGAGAGAAGCCAGAAGATAAAAACACTTTCGCTGAACTACATATCGGCGTGACGCCGGCGCGGAGATGCAGCACACCCCAACCCCACACGACACAAAGGGAACCGCTCGGACCAAAACTTCCAAAATCAAAATCAAACCCTCAGCAGAAAGCAAAAAATGCCTCAATACCTCCAACCAAAAATACTAAAACAATGGTAAGAGTACACGATCTTTTCAAAATTATAAATAATAATTTTATAATATACGAGATTTGTGTAGAAAAAAAATTTATAAATATTTGGATATTGATTAGTAATTTTTAGTTTATATATTCCCTGAGCAAATTTATGTGCTCATTAAAAGAATAAATAATTTAAATTTTTTGATTAAAGTGTTACTGAATTTCTCTAATCTTATTTTTTAATTATTATTTATTATATTCTAATTAAAATGATATACAAAAATTTTTTTAAAATGTAATTCTCTGTTTGGAATACAACCTCAAGATTAAGATTTCATAAAATTTAAATTTTATTTTTGAAAATTCTTAATGTTTGGTATTATTTTTTAAATATAAATATAATTTATAATTTATTATTAACTAAACTCTAAAAATTAGAGGACTTATTTTTATAGGCATGCTTATCCAATCTTCAAAAAAACTTCTATAGAATTTGAGTTTATTTTAAATGTTTAGAAATTTACATTATTGATTGAATTTAAATTTTTATAAAAGATTATGAGAATTTTTATTTTGATTAAAATGAGTATCCAAAGAATCTAAAATAATTCTCTGCGGTAAACACCTCAATGAACGGGCATGTCATAAAATTGAAATTGTATTAATTATTTAAATATCTGAATCTAAATAAAATTTAAATTTATTATTAAAATAAACTCTAAAAATTATCGACGAATTTTTTATAGGCTAGGGGCTAGGGGTGCAACTGAGACCAGAAAGCCAGCTCGAGCGCAAATCTCGATAAGTAATAACAAAGAGCATCGACGAGACCAAGATAATGTTATTAGAAGCTCACAGCGAGTCAAGCCGGAAACACGAGTAATTGATTTATAAAGATAAAACAGAAACAAAAAGAGACTCAGAAAACGAGGGACTAGAAACTCAAACGACAGAAAGATAGACTTTCAATACGAATCAATAGTAAAGCTCGAACACGTAAATAAAGCGAGCAGGAAACAAGGGGTGGGCACGCAAGAGGCCCAGACTCCTCCAGACCTTTCATCGAAGAAAAAAAATACAACGACTTGCAGAAGCAGCACGCGACGGCGTGGAACAACACGGGACGCGCGAAAAGGCACTGAGCTCAGAGCATCGAAAATCGCCACTCGAGAGCCTCAACGACTTTTTTTTCTCTTTCAAAGTATATTCTCGAGCTCGATCTTTTTGAGCTACCTACATCGAGTTCGAAGCATCGAGCTTGACATTGACAGACAGATAGCTCGGGCTCATTAAACACCCTTGCACTCGAGCTCGAACTCGACTCGATCTTTGCACCCTAAGCTAGGACCAACAAAAAAAATTTTCATAGTAGATTTTAGCTGTTATTTAAATTTTTTTTGAAAAATTATATATATTACTGAATAATCCAATTTTGTTTTTTTATTAAATTAGTATTAAATTTAATAAAAAATTTCACTGGTCATAAAAATTTTGAATTTATAAAAATTATGACTATACAATCAAGTTCATAATAGTCCCTTTAGGCTACAGAAGATTTGCATCAATAATCGTGAAAATTTGCATGAATGATTTACTGTGTATCGTTCAGCCGGCGAGTCTCCCACGACTCCTACAGCTGCAGGCTCCATCCACTCCATCTTCTTCGTATAAATACTCGATGAAGAGCCATTACTATTAGCCTTCAGTTTTCTTTTCCCTCCATGGCTAGGTTTTTCGAGCTCAACACAGGGGCGAAGATCCCCGCGGTCGGGCTTGGCACTTACAAGGCCGAACCCGGAGTATTAGAAGCCTCCATCATCGCAGCCGTCAAGGTATAGGCTGGTCTTCCCCTTCCTTTGTTTCCAGTTTCAGCACCGTTTCCGTTTTATTGCTTGTCTTTGGCTCAATTTCCTTCTGCTTACTTTTTTTTTTGTCTTTGTGTTTGTCGATTACTATTTTATGACAGCCGGGGGCATGATTAAACCCTAACTTATTTAGTAGGCGCGAAGAACGCATTAATGAATCTTAGGCGGTGTTTGAATTATTGCTTAACAAGGAAAAACTTTTTTAATTTGTTGGATGATTAGTTAAATAATAGCTAATCAACGATAATGACAAATGCAGTGACGATTGAGCGGATGATCCATATCCTGAATGGTAAAAATTAAATAATCTTTGATTAGTGAGAGGTTTAATTGCTCATGAGCAATTCAATCCATGATTCCTGAGATGAATAGTGAGTGTTGAGCTGGTTGGTAAGACTAACCCTATTTAATCCATTACCACATACAACAGGTTGAAAAATTATTTAATCTCTCTGCAATATAAGCAGATTTTGACTACTCATTCTGCTGTGTTAGATGGATCCTTGAGATTATTTTCAACAGGCTTGAGTTACTTCAATCTCAGTCTAAAAACAGGATGATGGGGAAGGGATATATACTGAAATCATCTCTCGTCGGCTTAATTTTAGCGTTATTGGTTTATATTCTCTGGGTTCAATTTACTACTCTCTATTTGGAGTGCTCTAACTTGGCTTGGAATTTCAGTTTTGATGTTGGAACCCCAACTGTTCTTCTGCAGGCTGGGTATAGGCATTTTGACTGTGCTCCATTGTACAATAATGAAAAAGAGGTACTCCAAACTTGATTTAATCAGACCATGATTAATGAAATTGACATGTTCAGCACTACATATTTGGCTGTCATTATTGCAGATTGGATCAGCTTTAAAGAAACTATTTGAAGATGGTATCGTGAAGCGAGAGGACTTGTTTATCACCTCTAAACTATGGTTGGATTTATTTCTCTCATGGTTATTTGTATTCTAGATGCTTTTTTTTTTTTTTAATTATTTGGTGAAATACTTTTGCAGGTGTAATTATCATGCACCTGAAGATGTGCCTGAAGCAATCGATTTAACCTTGGAAGACTTGCAGCTTGATTATCTTGATCTGTACCTTGTAAGTTTGTTATAAATAATCTGTAATCTTGAAATGAAGTTTTTAATCATAGTGAAAATATATTCGGCTCTGGTATGCTATCTGCTTTGCTCTGTTTGGAGCCAAATTTTTGTTTAAATGTTGGCAGACTAAGGCTTTGTTTGGGACGGCTTTCTCATTGCTTCTTAAAGCAAATTTCTAGTACAAAAATTAAAATTTTTATACTAAAAAGTTGCTTTAAGAAGTAGTAAGAACGCCGTCCCAAACGAAGCCTAAATTGCACAAAATTGTATGGTCCATCATCCTTAATTTATATTTGAGCTGCAGCTGTTTCGGTTTGATTTTCACATGGCATGCTTACCATATCTAAGATGCTAATTCCCTGCTCATTTTTGTTATGTGAAGATTCATTGGCCTTACCGCCTTAAGAAGGGTGGCAGTCCAACTCCAGAAAACTTTATTCCGCCTAATTTACCGGCTACTTGGGAAGCCATGGAAAAGTTGTATGCTTCAGGTAAAGTTCGAGCCATTGGCGTTAGCAATTTTTCTTCAAAGAAATTACAGGATTTGCTAGCAGTTGCACATGTCCCCCCAGCTGTCAACCAGGTAGAATGCCACCCTGGGTGGCAACAGACCAAACTTCATGCATTCTGTCAATCAACTGGCATTCACATCTCTGTAAGCTTTTCATTCCGTTTAAAGCTAATGCATCATAAACTTTGACAAAGATATAGGGTTCATTTGGAATGGCTTTCTTATTGCTTCTTGTACTAAAAATCTACTTTAATAAGTAGTAAGAAAGCTGCCCTAAATGAAGCCACAGTGTCAGCTATCCGCCACTCAATTCATTTTGCAGGCTTATGCTCCATTAGCTCGATCAACCGAAGTCCTTGGACACCCTATTGTGAACATGGTGGCTGAGAAATTGGGCAAAACTCCTGCTCAGGTTATTCTACGGTGGGGGATCCAATCGGGTCACAGTGTTCTTCCCAAGAGCGTAAATGAAACACGGATTATGGAAAACATTGAGCTTTTTGATTGGTCTATTCCTGATGATTTGTTTGCCAAATTTTCTGAAATTGAGCAGGCAAGTTGCTTCTCTTTTTTTTTTTTACTTCATTTTGCTTTTATTTAGGTTGTCTTTCTTAACTAATTTAATTTGGCCTATTAATTCAAATACGTACTGCATGCCTACTGTTTATGTGATTATCTGTACGTCCTTACGAAGCGAACTTTACATAAAAAAAAAAGATTACTTAGCAAAATATTTAGCAAGGCATCTTTTACATGTTACCAGTATCAAGCTAAACTTACATGAGTTTGGAGATTAATCACACATTAGAAGGGAAATAAAAATGGAGTTCCTAAGAGTTCTAATAAGCTTAATCTCTTTTGGGTCCATTGGTATCCGTTACTAATAAGATTAATCTTCATGTTGCTCTTGCTCGGTGCCAAGGTAGTCATCTTTCTTTCTTCCGCGCATTTTTTCGGCCAAACCCTGTTAAATCTGCCGAACGACGGGATTTAGATGTAGGCGTATTTACTCAGATTTACGTCGTAACTCCGTGAATCCCGGATTTACGCAGACGTCGGATTTACATGACCTCAAAAAACCGTTTAGCTGGATTTACCTTAAATTCTGTATAAATCTTGAGGAAAATCCGATACCAAACATCCCCTGAGAATCACCGATTGGTGATATCTCTTGTATCAAGTTTTTCATCTACATTGTGGATCCCATTTGCACGGTTTTTTCTACTATAGTTAAGCAAGATTCAAAGTTGGTGGCTCTCATGCATGCTCTATTTGTTTGAGTGACCTCTTGGTGTCTTATGCTTGATGCCTTGATGGCTCCCCTTTGAGAGGATGATGGTTGATATGGGGTAGTCTCATATGATGGGAATATTGCTAAAATTTATATGATAATAAAGATTGGCCCCCTTACAAGAAAAAAAAAAAAAAACTTAATTTCCAACGTACCACTCACTCTCATCCATTCAGATTGGTCCCTATCAATGTCACATTGGTCATAATTTAGGCCCCGTATATTCCACTTTCCTAATTTAATAGTGTGAAAAATCTTGTTGGTGTGCTACATTACAAAATTATCTTTTTTTTCTTTTGGCATTGTATGCTTTAAGCAAATTTTTGTGCATTTCTTGTTGTCATTAGATCCTTTAGAAGCCAAAGTTGGAATTAGTTGGTGTCTTTCCCCTTTTCTAAATTTGAGAAATTCCCATATAGCTATGTATAATTTACAATTAATTTCTCTTGCACTCATATGTATATTATAGAAGCTTCTTCTGACCCTAAATTTTGGGTAAATTATTATTTGTCTTATCACTTAAAATTATAGTTCGGGTTATGATTTCAAATTTTTTTGGGGTTTATTAGAGATTTATATGCATTTCATCCCCTTGTAATTGTGAGGATGCAGTGTAAAATATTAGAAAAAATATTTTGTGCGGACGCCGAACGTCGTCCGGAGACCAACTAGAATGTGCCATGTCACCCTGTGCTCGGTACTGTAGCTCGGTACCGCTGCTTGATACTGCTGACGTGATGCATTCTAGTTGGTCTTAGGACGACATTCTACATCCGGTCTCCGCACATAATAATTTTTCAAAATATTAGGTCAAATGGTATTGCTTGGTACCCCTCGGTACCGCGGCTCGGTGCTACTGACGGTGTGTTCTGATTGGTCTTGGGATGACGTTATGTGTCCGATCTCTGCATAGAATAATTTTTCAAAATATTAGGCCAAACAAGTTTGGATTTTCCCATCCAAGAGTTAGTATAATTTGGATTTTGAAGTAGTGGGCCGAAAGTATTATTATTATAACTTGGATGTTCTTGCTTATCATATGCAGGAAAGGCTGATCCTAGGAGAATTTGCTGTTCACCCTCAAAGTGTCTACAAGTGTTTGGAGGACCTCTGGGATGGCGACATTTGATCGCCCATCAGTTTCTGTGTCTGGACCAATTTACTGCTGCACCTGATACCTTTTCTTAAGGAATTGAGAATAATTCACGGAATTTATAATGCTATTTTTTCAGTTTATTATTATTATTATATTGGCTTAATTTGAGATGATTTTTTTATTACTTCTTAAAATAGCTTTTTAATACAAATGATTGTATTAAAAAATTATTTTAAGAATCAGTAAAAAAGTCGTTCCAAAACGAAGCCTTAATTAGAAGATCCGCCGAAAATTGGCTTAATTTTTTGGGCATATCACCAAATTTTGCAGAGGTTAAGGCCTAAATTAAAGTCAAAGATTCGATCAATTTTGATCGAATTGATTTTTGATCGGGTCATAGCTAATGAATTGATCAATGAGTCGAGTCCAACTAGGATTGAATTTAAATTAATTTGTTTAGATCAGATCAAGTTAGGTTGAATCTAAATCAGAAAGAAGAAAAAACAAAACAAAAATAAAAAATGTTTATAAGGCAAAAAGTGTACCCGTCCAGGGGAGGCCGTGAGGGAATTGAAGTCCCTTATTGGAACAATTATTACGTCATCTGACCGGATGTAGAGCTACGTTCGGCCGCCAATAACATGTTGCCACGTGCTCTTACTCTTTACCGCGTGGCCCGACGACTTGACCCCGAGCGGAACCCGGGAATGCTATGTTCGCGATTTTCTCGGTATTGCTCGGTATTTGCTAGTTATTGCTTTGCAAAAATGAGAAATACCGCTCTTTGAAGACCAATACCATGCAAATATCGAGTTGTATCGAGTTTTTCTACAACTCCGGAGTGACAAATCTCACTCAGGATTGCTCGGTATTGGCTTAAGAATTTTGCCCTCCCGGGGTATTTGCTTAGGTATTTGCTCGGTATACTAGAAAAAACTCGGTACAACTCGGTATTTGCTGATATTTGCTAAGTATTTGCTCGGTATTGTTTATTGCCGAGCAAAATCGACCAATATTTAGCAATACGAGCAATCTTGGGTTCGTTTCGGGTCGGGTGTCGGGGCTGCGGTAAATTATGAAAATGCGGGACGCGATTCTACTGGCGGCCGAACGTAGAGTTGCGTACGTTCACCGGACCAAATAAAAGTTCCCCTTATTGACCGTTGCTAAGCTTATTTTGCATTTGTATATATTTTGATTTGATTTAATATAAAATATTATATGAATAAGTATAAATATTTATGTGTCAGAAATGTCTTCAATCTTATTTGATCTGATTAAAAAATTAATTTATAGAGAATTAACGTCAATTCTAAAGAAATAATGATTTTTTACTGAATCTCGTAAACTGTGAATTGATTAAATTCATTTGATACAAAATTATGATAAAGATAATGTTTGAATGTAAATTTTTTTTAATATATATATTTTATTTCTTATAAATTTAGTAATTTATGACAATTATATATATATATATATATATATTCCGATTGACATATCCTTACCTTTTACTTGATCTCCAGCACGGGAGAAATTATTCTATGTAGGCTTCAGACATAGCTCTATATCCTGACTTCAATTAAATTAAGACATGACAATTTTTTATGAGTTGGCGACTCGACCTAATCCATTTATGAAAAATTTGAAATTACATCAGCCCACTCATTTTTTTTGTTTTTAAAAAAGAAATATACAAAAGCTCTCATTATTTAGGATTTTTTCAAAATAAAAGTTTTGGTACTTGTTGAAAAAAAAGGGGAAGAACCGTTGAAGATGAAGACTGATTTGGAGGTTGACATTGCATTCTTCAAGCAAATGATATGCCCACAGGATGTGGAGTATGAAAGGCAATATGCAAATGTTCAGGAAGAGGAATACTTGAAGTTGAAAAAATTGCAATCGCGGGGTCCAATAGGGCAGCCCCCCACCCCCTAGCAGGGTTTGATCTACTCGATCATTTTGCAGGGTCAAGGTTGCCCTCAGAACAAATTTTGATTGTAAGAGTAATTTTTTAGTTTCCCTTGATTTTAGAGTTGTGAGCCATTTGTACTCCGTGATTTATAGACTCTTTGTGTTTTGAAGATCATAGTAAACACGCAATGTTGATATGCCCTTGCAAGAAAATGCATGCTTCTATAAATCAACTATATAAAATTTCTATTGTGTATTATTATTGTGTATTGTTGTGTATTGATGTGTAATGTTGTGTATTATTGTATATTATTATTGTGTATCGTTGTGTTTTGATGTGTACTATTATTTATTGTTGCTATGTATTGATGTATAATGTTGTGTACCACTATGTATTATTATTATGTACTATTATATATTGTTGTGTACTGTTTCTCAAATTTGAACTCAATCTATCTCAGTCATTGAGAACAAGCAAAATAAGAACAACTATAAAATTCTATTTCATCAATCAATCTCTGATCTTGCTAACATAAATTCTGCGTTGGAGTAATTCAAGAAAGAGTTGTTTTGCATTTCTTGTTTGAACTATCTTCTCATGCATGTTTTATACCACCTAGTTTTATAAAATATATTCCAGCAATTGCTCTAGGAATCATATATTAAATTCATGTAAAAATATATCATTATACACAATATTTATGCAGTACATAATAATACACAGCAGTACAATAACAATAGTACACAACAACAATGCACAGTAATATGTAGCAGTACACAGTGATACACATTGGTATACAGTAGTGCACAACATTACACAGCATCAAAATAAACAAAACATCACATAAACAAAAAAAGAAAAAATGCATAATAATTACATATGAGAGAATAAATGAACATCCAAAAAATTGTCATTTTATATAAAATTTTACGTAGTTGATTTAAATAAGCATGTGTTTTTGCGGCATTCGGCATATAAAATTTTGAAGAATACATTCTAAGTGAATGTGTGTGAAACATAAAAAAAACACATATACCAATGCTGCCAAGTTTATAAATTTTCCGTAGAAGTATTTGAGCTTGTTTGAGAACTTCATATGGCTAGAAGGTGAACAAAATTATGTTGTATTTGTCTTACGACAGATTTTTCAGTTGAAAAATTAAACTCAACAAAACGTATATTGCCTCATAATATATATTGAAAAGAAATTATTAGGTTAAGTAAAATACATCTTGCTCTTAAGTTTTTTCTTCTTTTCCAATGACTCTGCAGAGAATAAGAAGTCCTCCAACCCAATCTAGATCTTAATCATCTGTTTCTCATTTTTTTTTTCTCAAAAGGCACTAAAACTTATTCCACAAAAACACTATATATTTGAGAGCTTTCGCAAATTTCATTTTTAAAATATAAAAAAGAGTAAACTGTTGAGATTTCAAAATTTTTGTAAATAAACTAGCCGACTAGGTGAACCATCGGATCTTAAGAAATTCAGATGTTCTAATTTAATTTAATTTAATTTTAATCAGTAAGTATACTCCGAAGTCCCCCACAGAATAATTTCCCTCTGCACGGTCCTTGCTTTTAACCTCGCGATGCATTAATACTCACATCTCTGTACAAATTATTGCATCCGGTCATAAGTTTGTACAAATTAAGTTTTTTTGGGAACCTATCCTCCGCGTCCGACGAGCGGATGCGATAATTTGCCCTGTTCTTTTAGTTCTTCCGGCGGGCCGCGATGATATTCTGGTCTGCCGTTCTCCGCCATCTCACTTTGTGGAGAGCTCCTATCGTCTCGGGCGCCATAGAAAGAGGTGTTAAGGTCCACTGCTCCGCCCTTCTTAAGCACTCCTTGAGTAGCGTCTCATTCCGGGAAACCCTCGAATGTAAATACCCACTTTCCTCCTTCAACTTGGTTAATTTCTCTTCCAGCCCAAGTAAACCTACTTCCGATGTTCATTTCCTTACAAGTACAAATGATGAAAACAAATGCGGTGAGACTGATCAGGTAAACTCGAGTTTATCTTCGTTTTTTTAATTATAAAGATTTGATTTTGAAGCATAAATCAGCATCCTTTACGTTTTTTCACTAACTTAGTAGCCTTTATCGATTTCAAATTATTGTCAAAGACGGATGCATGTAGTTTGCCAAATTTATTACCTCTTCTATTTCAAAACATCACAGGTAGAAGAAATGCCCGAAGCGTTTCCACTCGAAATCCAAGTCAAAAGGATCACGAATACTGCCGGACTTATGAGAAACTATATTCTGAAGAGCATTGATGTTTCAGTTTCCAGGCCCAGTCTTGTGACCGGAGAGGAGCATGAAAACAATATGAGGATTGGAGATGATGAGGAGGAGAGAGACAATTCAAGGCTGTGCCAATCTGGCATTCCACTAACATTAAATGATAGCAAACAACAAAGGGACAGTATGGAGTTCTGCTGCGCTTCTCGTAAAGATGATCTTGCTGGTGCTGGATCGTTTATTAGAAAGAACAAGAAATATGGCATGAAAATTTATTCATATGAAGGGCGTGGTTTCTGGTATGCTTTGTTTTTATCACTTCAACTATTTTTTGTAAGTATTATGGTTTTGATGTAGTATATTTTTCAGATAAAAGGGTTACTGAGTTGCTAGCTTACACTGCTAAGCGGAATGTCACTTGAGCGCCATTATTGTTGCTAGAAGATTCATGTTTAAAAAGATATAGCCCTTGCAGTGCATTTACTTAGTCACCTAATACTGCTATGTTTTCTTTAGTAGGTGCTACGATTGTCAATGGAGAGTAGTACATTATAGTGCAATAGACTTTTGGAGTTATATCACATAATACGCAACTATAGCATGGGGTACACATGTTTTTAAAGATCGCAAATCATAAAAAATAATGAATAATTTATTAATAATTTCACAATATAAGAGAAAATTTTCTAAAAGCAAGAAAACACAATTGATGTTACGTAGCTATACTTGAAGGTTAAAGAAAGGAAATCAACTTGTAAAAAAAACTATCATGCCAAAGAAAGCAATTAAATTTGCAAATAAAAATATCATGGTTTATGAAATGCATAATATTAGACCAAAGATCTAAACTTTAGAGCTTAGTGTCACAGAGAAATCTTGCCCAAGTCACCCGTGCTGCCTTAGCACTCCTTCCTTGTGCTAAGTCTATTAAGTCAGCCTTAAACTCACACAATGCTTGGCTAGAGAGCAAAGAATGCTAGAGAGTAAGTGAATGGGCGAAAGCTTCACTATTACGAGAGAACTTTTACAATAGAGGTTGGAGGGGTTTTGAGAGTTGTTGGGAGTTGATTACAAATGAAGGGGGAGGGGTCCTATTTATAGCCCTTATCCCATGCCTAAGAACAATCAAGAGTTCCCTCCATTATTCATGAGTGTGGAATTCTTTAGAAAACTCCACATCATTCCCTACACTCTTACATAATCCAACAATACTCTAGAGAGTTTTAAAGTGTCCTAGATTACTCTCCAGGTATCTACATAATCCAAGAACATTCTAGAGAATCTAGAACCTTCTAGGAGACTCTTGACCCATCTTGAGTCTTCTAGAACCTTCCAATGTCATGTGAACCCATTCAGGAATGGTTCTAGAGGACTTCCTGGCCTCTGCTCGGCATGTCACGCCCAAAGGGTTTGACCAAACCTCATGTTCTAGGTTTTGGGCATGACATTAGGTTCATAACATAAGAAAGAGTTTTTGTATAAATCCCATATTCATAAAAAAAAAAAAAAAAAAAAAAAAAAAAAAAAAAAAAAAAAAAAAAAAAAAAACTAGTCATTATGAGAATCACCATCATAAGCCAATATAACCTCATTTACTCCATCATTATGATCATCTATGTCATAATCTTCTTTGTCCCTTTCATCAAGTGTGCTAGGTATAAATGTAGATCCCTTTTCTTTTCTTTTAGGTGTATCTCAAATATTGTAGTTTCTTTCATAGAAACACTAGTTTTTTAAATTGTACTCTAAGTCAACTCTTCATCACCAAACACTAATTTTTCCCCTTTATCCAATTTCGTTGTAATCCATCAATTAGCATCATTCGTAAATACATGCCATGACTCTCATATAAAATTTAGTGGCTCTATTTGTTCAGTGGTGGAAGGGATCGACTTAAATTTGAAATAAAATTTTGGACGTACTTTCAATTAACTCACGCTTTCAACTAACTCACGCACGCCCAACCCCTTTAATTGAAAACTTTGAATGAAGTAAATTTAAAAATCAATAAAAAATCTAACCAAACAAAATAGTATGCATTATTGTTTCTATGCACTATAACTAATAGCACATAACATCCATTATTTTAGCTTCCACTTAGCAGAGTTTTTAACATTTATTGCTTCTTGAAAAGACTTAGGTTTACTATCATAAGAGTATTTATGAGCATGCTTAAATATTCTTTGATATCTTTTCCATCTCTTTTACAGCTGTACGTCGCCCGGTTTTGCCTCAGTATTTTGAGGAGTTATCTAATTACTTTCTTGCACATCATATTTTGAAATATGTTAAAAATATATATATTTTTTGAAATATCCTCCAGCTCAACTTGTTCCTTTGTGACAATCTATTTCCTTGCATTACTATACTTATCTTTATACATGTTTGTTTTATTGAATATAACATTCTGATTTTCCAATGATTTTTTTATATTTTTTTTAAATTTGTAGTCAAATCATTAACTCCATATCTATTGAAATAATGCTTAATGGACTTGAGTTCGTGTTTTTTCCTACCAATAGAATCCATATGCATATAAGACAATCAATACTTTTAAATGAGAGATTTCTCTCTTTGGTGGTTCAATCTTCATTTGAATAGATTATAGTTCTCATGTGCCTTCATTTGAAGTCGTCTACATGCATTCAACTCTCATTTTATTGTGGTATTCTTAAAACTATCTTCTCCATACATTCGAATATTCGTTCAAAAATGTCTAGCTTCTTGTTGTCGTTGTTTGCTCTATTATCTGATTTTTTGCATTTTTTAAGCCTGACTTATGCTCTACTAGACTTTTTCATCTTTTAAATAAGCAACAAATTATATTTTTCAAACAATAAACTGAGACTTCTCTGGTGGAGTCATTTATTTAGATGATGTATTAAATGAGCCACTAAGGGGTATGCCATGGGGATAGTCCCCAAACATTGGTTTATACAAGTTTCAGTTTTTGAGTTTTGGGCTTCCTCCTAGTATTTGAGAAACTAACATATTTATGCTTTTTAAAGATATAGCCCTAAAAAAAACTAGAATCCAGAGACTTTAAATTTCAAAATTTAATATTTGAATATATAATTCTCAGCCCTTTCTTATTCATGTCTCATCCATGGATGCAATATTTATGAATCAATATTTAATTCTATTGTTGCTCCACTAGTTTGGTGTTCGAAGTCATATATAGTATGTCATTCTTTCTTTCACATTCAACCTTTTGTTACCATTCAAGTATTGAAGATTGAGTTATATTCTTATTCATCAAGTTATCTAATGTAGAGTAAATTCCTTTTGAAGCATGGAACATGTTTAACTTTATGAAGCTTCCCTCTACTTCCATTGGCAATTTTAATTTGAAAATCACCATCGTCTACAATATTAAAGGGATCATCATTGATAGAAATAGGCTTTCCTATATTTTTCAATAAAATAATTAGACATGCACTCTTTATGTGAAACAAAGTGCATGTGCACTTTAATCTAGAATCCAAAATCTCATGGGACTATCATTACTGATAAATAATGCATCATGAATCTCTTTTTTTTTTGGTAGCATTCACCAGTTCTTTGCTTGGCTCTAGATTTTTGCAACCTTTCTTCAAGGGGTGGTTTCTTTTCATGTGATTGATGTCACTCTCAACTTAAATTGCTCTAATCTTTGGATTGACTTCTTTAATTGTCCTATGGACTTTGAGATTTGGATACTCCTTGGCTGTGTCCTTCGTAATTCTTCCTTAACTTTCAAGATGCAAAGCATCGGAAGAGCCTTCTGTTTGATTCTCATCTATCAATGACCTCTCTTAAGATTAAGCCATTGTCATTGTTGATGTTCACTTTGTAGACCCATAAAAATTGTTGACCAGCTTAGATTTTCATCTTAATTGACACCGGGCTTGACCGCTTGAGTTAAAACCAACCGGACCCATCTTTTATGTTCTCTTTTTTTATTAGTTAATAAGTTTTCATTTCTTTCTTTAAATAGCATTATCTTTATTTTATTTCATTTCCTTATTTACTAGTTGAAAGCTTATAAATATAGATTTCTTAACACTGAAATTCAGATCAAGTGGTTCTTGCTGCTTACCTCATCCAGAAGGGTGCTGTCCTTCTCCTACTGTCTAGAAATTTGATTTCTTCTATCAAGATTGCTGTCCTCTTCTTCCACCATCAAGAAAACAGCAACTTATAACACATGCTGAATCAATTTTGTCACCAAGAAGTCTTCTCACTGAAATTTCAGATTACTTGTAATCTTTGTTTCTAAACCCTTTACAATTTTGGTGTCATTAACTCTCTGAAAGTGATGAGAAGTTGAAGGCACAAATTTCATGATCAAATTTGATATTAACTGAAATTAAAAGATTGTGTTATAATTGAGTTGACATTTCCTTTTACAAGCGCACCTTCTATAATTCTAAGATTAAAGTATTTTTTTTCATTAAAAAATATCTTATTTATTGCCAATGACTTCTCATATGTGTCTAGTAAAGCTTTTGTTTCTTCAGTCACGATCTTCTCATGCAATATGTAGAAGACATCATTCTTGGTAAGTGATAAGCACATAACTACTAATCTTTGTCTATTTAGAAGATTCTACTTTAAATCTTTTATAATATTTTGCTTCAATGTTCTTACTTTTCCCATAAAAGATAATAATAAGCATATTCATCTTTCACTTCTTTTTGGACCTTTTTTCTTCTTCTTGCAAGATTATGATCTAACTTATTTGGCTTCCTACTCTACTTCCTGTAGACAGGGAATCTCACATAAATTAAATCCTTAGAATCATCTTTTAAATGTAGAAATTTTCTTTTGGCAAATTATTTATATAATTTTTAGTCAATAGAAACTTTTGAAAGTTGTTGGGTTGTCTACAAAAGAGGTTTGACTTTATACCTAACCGCCCTTCAGATTATTTCATTCACAAAGTCGCTGCAACTGCTTTGTAGTTGCATCCTACATATTTATTTGACAACCAAATAACCTCTTAGAAATTGCATTTTCACTATAAAGTAGTACCTCACTCTCCTGTGGTAGCTCAGGCAAGAAGAGGGGGTAGAATATCGTCACAAGCTGAAGCAAAAGGAGAGATGGCAAGGAGAAAGTTTTCATCTTCTCAAGAGTCGAGGGCAGCACCTTCTTACCAACCCTCGGGTTCTTGATTCCATTATCCGGAGAGCTAAAGTTTTGCCTACTGATACTGTTCTTGAGATTGGTCCCGGCACAGGAAATCTAACCGTTAGGCTACTTGAGCTTGCCCTAAAGGTTATTGCTGTTGAGATTGATGAGCGAATGGTTAATACCCTCCAAAATCGAGTTGCCAAACTAGGTCTTGAAGACAAACTTGTTGTAAGTTCTTGCATTTGTTTACTTTTTTTTTTTAAATGAATATTAATCACAGTGGAGGTGTTTTAATTTCTTTCCTTGAATTCAGGTTATCACAGGAAATGTACTCAAGATGGAGTTACCTCATTTTGATCTCTGTGTATCTAATATTCCATATGGAATATCTTCCCCATTGATAGCTAAAATCTTTCTCAGGTCATTCAAATCTTGTTTTCGAAGCGCAATCCTCTTACTCCAAAAGGAATTCGCTTGCCGTCTTCTTGCTAAGCCAGGAGAGTCAGATTTCAACAGGTTAGCTCTGAATGTGAGATTGGTGGCATCAGTTGACTTTCTAATGAATGTTAGCAAGAAAGATTTTGTCCCTTGTCCTAAGGTTGACTCTTCTCTTGTTCAGATCCAGCCTAAACTGAAAATACCAGATATAAATCTAGATGAGTGGCTGGGTTTTACTAGAACATGCTTTAGTAAGAGAAACAAGACTCTTTCTGCCATTTTTAAGCAAAAGAAGAAAATTATCGATTTATATGAAAACTCACAATCAAATATCAAAAACTGTAAAACTACTGAAAATGAAGATCGAGTTGGTGATTATGATCTTGATGGAACTAATGAATCTGATGAGGGTTCTGCAACCAGCTTAGAGTTGGGGTTACAAAATTCGACTGAAGTTCTTAGGTTTAAAGAGAAGATTGTAAGGGTATTGAAAGATGGAGGTTTCGGTGAGAAGAGGCCTTCCAAGCTATCCAATGAAGAGTTTTTGTGTTTGCTTCAGCTTTTCAACAAAGAGGGTGTATTCTTCCATTAAGAACCAATGGAACTAGTTGGAAAAAATAAACCTGAAGCAAAGATTTCTTGATGCCTATCACGCTCCAGACTTTTTGGGATCTAAGGCTAAACTGGAATTTTTGCCTGCCTGATGATCTTAGTAACTATCTGTGAATGTGTCACATAGTTCAAAGGTAAATATCACCTTTTCATCTTCATCAACTTCTATATTCTGTTTTTGAAGTATGTCAAAATAATGGCTTTACTCTCGTTTAGGCTTCATTTGTGACAACTTTTTTACTATTTCTAAAGCTATTTTTTAGTACAAAAATTTGTTGTTTAAATTTTTTTTATACTAAAAAGCTATTTAAGAAAACAGTAAGAAAGCCGTCCCAAATGAAATCTTAGACTTTGTTTGGGACGGTTTTTTTATTTCTTCTTAAAACAATATTTTAATACAAAAATTAAAATTTTTGTATAAAAAATTGTTTTAAGAAGCAGTAAGAAAGCCATCCCAAACGAGGCTGAAGAAAAGAGCTTATATTATGGAATGGGCTTGCTTTTTATTAACTCATCAGCGATGTGTGCAAATCTTATGGCTCTATATGGGGTAAAATGTGACTTGCACCCATACAATTTTGTTTTTACCTTTTCTTTTGTTAAGCAGAATTTTTCTACGGTGCGGAGTGATTGCTGGAGTGTTTGGAGTTACGGTAGCCTCACAACTATAAGACAGATACACTAATGCTACAGTAGAGATGCGCTACTGCTATTGCTGTGCAGGCGATACATGAATCATATTGGAAGCCAGAAGTCTGTGATGCAGGTTTGCAATGATTGTCAGATAGTATGCCTCCTTTGTCCAATCGGTACAAGGTAATTTGTCCAAAATATTTCTATCACAAAGATGCCTCTTGTTTTATTGGGAATTGTGTTGAGTTCTTTCACATGCATGTACATAGTTTCTACTTCGGAATTAGTTTTTTAACCTATCATTTTGATTTTTTTGTGGCTTTGATAGCCATTAGGATGCTTAGTTTTCGTTTGTAATTAAAAATTATTTCTTTAAATGGTGATAAAGCAATACAAATAATTATAAAAAAAACAAAAATAAAATTTAATGATAGTGATGGGATCAACAACAGCCACAATGATGATGACAATTTGTGATAGCTATTTTTAAAAAGCAGCAAAAAAATCTCAAAATTATGTTCTCAATGTAACAATCTAAATAAATTATTTAAAAAAAAAAGAGAAAAATTATCTCTAACAAACCCTAGCATTCTCCAAGAGCAACAAACACAAAAAAATAGTGTTAGAATATCATGATTACCTTTTGACATCAATGGATTTAAAAATTATTAGATTTATTTTGAGATCAGAATAATATATTTTTTTATATATCACATTAATCTCAAAACAAATATCCTAAATTTAAAATCCTTCGTGATCAAAATATTATTATGATATCCTAACCCAACTTCTTTGCAAAATAAATTGGCTAACCTACCAAAAGAAAACACAACTTGTTTCAAAACAAACGTCGAAAGTTTCTAAAGAACAGATAATCAAGACCCGCACCAATATGTAGTTACGATCCAAGAGACTCAATCATTTCACCATACGTGCAGCAAAAAAGACAGCAAGTAGGAGGGCAATAAGCATTATCTGCATTAAAACGGTGTAATGGATCAAGTTTTGTGATTCTAGGACTATAAAAATATCAGCCATGAAGTGCTAACAGTATTAAGGACTCACCAATGCAGAATTGTACAGCTGCTGCCTCTCATCCACATAAAACCCCCTTGAATATTAGAGGAATGTTACATATGTCAAAATTCAATAGTATGACAAAAAATAAATAAATGAAGAAGACGGCTTATGGGTACAAACCTCTTGTTTAATAAACCGGAGGACATGCATGCTTTCTTTATTGCATTTACACGCTTGAGAGTGAGACTAGCATTAGGATCTTTCTTATCAACCTGTGTTACCAAATACTTATCATTTATTCATATTCTGATTAAACTTGCCACATGCGATAATAAACGCGAGTCCGCAACAAACATGCATGACACAAACACAAGTTCGAGTAAAAAGGATGTAGGAGGCATAGAAGGCTATTTAGGGAGTCCTGAGAAATTTTAGGTGCGGACACCAGATGGAGAAAATTATCCGAATTTTTCTTTGTCTATAGTAAAAGTGCAGCTGCTACAGTAACTGTGCTTTTACTGTAGACAGAGAGAAATCTGGATAATTCTCTATATCCGGTGTCCGCACTTAATAATTTGCCCACGTTAGGGGCAAGCTTTAACTTGAAAATGTGTTCAACAACTAGCTGGAGTTCTTGCATAATCATATCTACTATTTTAAAAAGCAGTATGCAAAGAAGTTAAGTAACCCACAACCGCATGTGCGCAACTAATCTTAGTCTATTGGTAGGAAGTTTTGACTATCAATTAAGAGATCTTGAGTTCGATTCTTTTGTGTGATGTATTTATGAGATTGTTTTAATTGACCTAAATATATCTAAAAAATAAACATAACCGCACGACGGAACAAGTCATTACAAAGATTTGAGGTGGTATAAATCTTAAACTGAATATTGGCAGAATTAGTCATAAAAGATTACATCATAGTTCCTCTCAAACCCCGAAAGAATAGGCTTATGGTACTGATAGATCCAGAAGTAATTTTTTGCCTTGAATTTGGACCACCAGAAAAGTTTTTTTTTTTTTTTAAACATAAATCCCATCTAATAATACTATTCTTCTTCATAGGGCATTAATTAGGTTCCACAACTTAGCAAATAATAGAAATTGAAATATCCATCAATACTGAATCACTTTTCAATGTTAAGAATAAATTTAAAAATCCATGATTACCATACATAAACAATATATGTTTATTGAGTGAAACTAATTTACCTTGGACTCGAGCAGAGTAGAGAAGTCATAAAAAGCACCATAAACATCTGCCATCGATTTTGTCTGATCACTCATTCTGGCAGCAAGTCCTACAAAAAATCATAATCAGTACTTGAATTTGACCTCAACTAGAGCAGAGAAATCTTATGAAAACAATAAATGACAACATTATTAGCCTGATAATATAGATTTTGGGGGCGAAAAGAAGAATAATAATAAACGAACTGAGAAAAGAAAACTAATATTAAATGAGTGCCCTTTCGGCAGTCGTAGATAATAATAATTCATCTTCAAGCAAAATCATTCACTCAATTGATAAGCATATGATATCCTCTCCTAAAAATAATGCTTCCCCCAGTGTAAATACATTTTCATATATCAATAATAAAAGTATAATTTGGACAAAAGTAAATAATGTGAATTTGAGCTCATTTACACCTTGCAATCAATATCCATCAGCTTTAAGTCGAACCATAATGAACAATCATAAGAAGTAAGAACAACACCCCCACCAAAAAAAAAGGATTTTTAAGCTAACTGGAAGCACCTCTTCACCAACAACTACTGGGTTTGACAACTACGTAATATCTGTGGTAGACAACCTCAACATATTGGAGTTGAATATTCTCTTATTCAGAAATCACTCTTAGTTTGTAACCAGTCAATATGAACATAAATTAAGAGCTTCTAAAATCTGATGTTCAAAAGTTTTGATTATCAGGTGTCAACTAGCGTCAATCTGAAATACATGGTACTGCAACTGTTAAAAAAATAATATAGCTTACATACAATCTAATGTAGAAAGCAAACCAAGCATTGTAATAGCTAAAAAGATAACATAGATTATCTGAAAATCTAATGCATATCGGTACATCTTTTGCAATGATGATCCCTCCATTCCACTCGCATCTTATCTACATCTTTATTTAACCTATAAAATGCTTAACATAATTTTTTATTCTATAATTTTCTCCCTCCATTAGCTTGTGATGTGAATCAATCATGCGATGAAATGAGAATTGCACTTAAAATTAATAGAAATATTGAATCATAACTTGCTACCAAAACTTTATGCTTAATCAAGTGAAGTTCATGAATTATAAAGCGAATGATTAAGTAACAACAAGAAATCGCATTTAGAGATTAGTAGGCTTCTCAAAATAACATCAAAACTTCAAGTAATGCGAATAGCTAAGAATAACAAAGCCCCAAATTTAAGATTTAGATCCTTCACCTTAGGATCCGTCACTCAATTTGAAGTGGAGGTTTAGCGGAAAAGGACCGTAAGTAGGCTTAGCGACGCTACGAGTAGACAAGTGATCTTGAGGGGACTCGTCGTCGGGGAGGGAGCCGAAATCGGAGGAGTGGGTGGTCGTCCTTCAATGATCCACGTGCAGACGGAGAAGTGGTCATCGATGGCCTCCACTAGTGGTGGTAGAATCCTCTCCAAGTATTCCTCAACGGTATCGTCAAAGTCGAAACCGACGTCGAAGAAAGGCGATCGGAGAATATTGACCCTTCCGCGGTGGTCGTACTCAAACCCGAAATTCCATTCGGGTTCCTCCATACATTCTTGTCGGCAAGAGTGAGCGGCCGCCGCGAGACGTTCTCAAGTGGATGAGAGAGGCGGCTCGGGCGTTGGAGGAGAAACGGCCAAGAAGAGGTGGGTTGGGAAGGTTCGGCCAAGGTGGGAAGAGAAAGAAAACTGCAGGAATTTTCTGCAGGAAGTTGTTTTTGGGGGCTAATTGGAGAGATTTAATTTGAATCAAATTAAATCAATGAGGAGGAAGGGGCGGCTAAAAGAGAGGGTTTAGAGGCTGAAATTGTGGAGTTAATGGGGTGATTAGGAGAGAGAGAAGAGACCAAGGAGGGGCCGGCCAAGAGAGAGAAAAAGGGGGAAGAGGAGATTAAGCAAGTGGGGTCCACACAATTAATCTCAGATTTTATTAAAATCTGAAATTAACAATTCAGTTTCGGATAAAAAGAAAGGTTTCCTAACTTAAGCATTTAATTGGATTGAATTTGAATTTGAATTTCAAATCCAATTCCAATTTATTTGATTGCTTAAATTAAGGAGGTGATTTAGGTAACATTAAATGCTAATGAAACCCAAATATTTCAGAATTTTGAAAACTGAAAAAGGAGGGAAATAGGGGGCGGCGGCAAGGAGGGAGGGGCCGGTGGACTGGAGTGGCCGGCGGCTGCTGGGTGGGGTTTTGGGCCGGCGGGAGGGAGACCTGGCTGGGGCCGGCGGGAGGGGGTTTTGCTGGGTCGGGATGGCCAGTGAGGCCGGCGGCTTGGCTGGGCCCAAGGGAGGCGGCACTAGGATGGAGGGGAAGGGAAATTTTGAAGAAATTTGAGAATTTCTTCCAACGATTTCCTCGCCTCGAATTTCTGCTCTACTTCACCTTCACACTACAAGCATGGATTAAATCTAGAACTCACGGAGAGATCTAGTTCTCCCTTTGAACTCACTAAGAGATCAAAAGGAAATGCACTCACAAAGAGAACAAAGAGGATAATTTTCATTTCATCAAAACTAAAAGATTACAATGCATAATGCCTCATATAAGGAGGCTCAAACTAAAAGAAAATAAAAGACATAAACGCCCTCGGGGCTACATAAGTCAAACAATGCCCTCAAGGGCAAACTAGGAAAACTAAGAAAAGAATACATGACATAAGCTGTAAATAACTCAAAAGTAGAGGCTCTGGATCGTAGCCGTCGATCTGCGCCGTCGGCGATGGTACACGTGTCGAAATCTGATGTCCCCATCAGCTTGTCAGTTTCTTTATTTAACCTTACAAAATGCTTAACATAGAGTTTTTATATAAGTTTCTAGATGCAACAACGAAAACACTTTTTAACATCTCTGTATGCGTTTGCTGATAGAGCCACTACGGGGAAAGCACAATTTTTTGCGCTTTTCATTCCAAATATTAATTGATATTTGAGCTCCCAAATAATAAGTCAACACCGCTGATAGTCATTTCCATGGAAATCAGAAAGTAAAATAAATAAATAAATAATCTATGTAATTATAGATCCAAAAATAGGAGAACAAGGTTGGGAATAGGCTAATAACATACTAGTTTTGGTATAAAATATTAAATCAATGAATGAAAATCAACGAGTATACAGGTAAAATCTTATTTTTAAACTGTACAATGTGGGTGACTCCGAAGAAATTACTCAACCACTCCATTCAAACAAAATCTTAGCTGTAATACTGACTGTTCAGGACTTTGGATCATTGGGATAGCTAAGTGGACACCATAGAATAATGGTTAAACCCACTGTTAGGCCCAAAAACTCCATCTATAAGGCGAGGGATAACCATTAGTACATCCATACCAATGTATCTCAACTATTCCATGTGGAACTATGTAGAAACACTCTCGAAGTCTGAATACATGTATTAGAAAAAGGCTACAGCAAATGTAGGTGAAATTGGAAAGATAGCAATGTGGACCAAATAATATGTAATTAAGAAACCATTAAGCAATGTTCTTCGAATAAACCAAAAACCAAAACCAAAACCAAAACCAGAGTGCAAGCCTGAACCACACAACTTTTACTATCATATACAAGGATAGAGTTTCATCAAAGACTTACCATGTCGGATTTTCACAACACCTCTAAACACTTCCACATTGTTATAGCATAGTGCTAAAGTTCCAATCGCCATGACCTGCCACAAATGCATGATTGAAAGTTAAGGATTTGTGACAAACTTCAATATATATTAAAAAAGTAAATGCTAATGAGCATAAAAAAACAAAACTAATAAATTTTTTGGAAGGTTAGGTGGCAATAAATGGCATAATGGCATCTTTATTTAATTTTCATGTACTAGATCAAATAAAAAAAATATGATAGCACTAACGGATAATATGTAGAAGCGGCAATATTTGCTTCGTTGTCTAAATGAAACAACAATGACTGAACTAAGTAAAGTTTTCATTGCAGTCGTTTTTTTTAACTGTTTGAATGCAAGTACAAATTTTTTATATATGAAATATTTGATTTCAAGAGATTGGCAATAATTTCCAACGTTTGTACCAACTAAGGTAGGCACCCACTCATGTTTTAAATCAGACACCAAAAGAAATGAACCTTATATTAAAGATAATAGAAAATGATAAAAATTAAAATCACGAGTCAAACATTATTACTATATTATAGTAATATCAACAAAAAAAATCCTTGCTTTACGACCTCCTAGCAATAACATAAATTAAGTCAATGTCATGATTGTCCTCATCCCAACTATTAAGTCCACTTACTCCATCATACCCATTGAGCTCTATATTAAAGAGTAATTATACTCTCTGCAGTTCCATTGGCACAAAATCTAGCCATTTTACCTATAGACATGTGGACAGAGTTAGAGCAATTAAGCCACAATATGAAATAAAAAATTTAGATTTTGGCTCAGGTTTAGTCCAATATGATAGATTTTAAGTTGACTTTCAAGTTGCTTCGAGTCAAATCTATTAAATCAATACTGTGAATTGACTAAAACTTAAAACTTTACATAAAGCCCAAGCCAGTAAATGCAAAATACAACACAATGCAGTTTAACTATACAATATAATTAATAAATAAGATCAAATTTTGCAAAAAGTTCACAGTCAGTTAAGAAAGCAAGGATAATTTCTTATATACCTGAGGTAAGGCACAAAATCCAAAGATAGATCGGTCCTTCAATGCTGACATATACTTGAGGCAATCTTCAACATGAACCAAAGCATTGGTCACCATGTCATTCAAGCATTGCACTGCTTTTACAGCGTTCTCCTCATATTTCAAGTCCTAGATTAGATAGAATACAAAACTTTAGGACCATCCCACCCAACTGCAGAACATTCATTCTCTAAATCTTTAAAGTAGCATTTTAATCTATATCAACCGGAGAAATAAATTTAAAACAAAAAGAAACGCTGAAAATGGAAGAAAGCTATGCAATCAAAATGAGAAAAATATCAAACAGTGAAGGATATGTGCAAATAAATTAAATCTGAAGATTGAGAAGATAAAAAGAGAAAATTACTAAAAGAGCGCCAAGAAACAAACCTCTAGGTTGTCAACATAATTACTCCAAATTTGTCTAGGCCAAAACATGCGAGACTTGGGTATCTCATTTATATCTTCCAAGTAATCCCTTATTATATTTGTTTTCTGTTTGTCAAATCAAAAAATTGTCCACTGTTAATAAAGACGACTACCTGAAGAGAGAAAATACTACTAATCAATGTACCATACTGTTTGAACTACCTGGAGAAACAAGCCCATTGAATTTGCAAATGAATTGGGAACTGCATTTTCTAATTTAGAAGCATAAAAAAGTTTAGATAGTCCCAATCCAACTAGACCTGCTACATAATGGCAATATTCATCATAGTCATCAATTGTATCCACCTGTAAGGGAAACATATTCAGTTTTACTTGAGAGGAAAACAAAATAAAAAATTAATAAAAAATTGCTTGTTTTTCGCTGTTACTGAAAGGAGGAATCACTAGTCTAATAAGATAAATATACTTTCATGTTAAGGAAGCATAATAAATGAATGAATTCCTCAACCCTTTGAATGTGCCATAATTTTTTTTCACTGTCCCTGAGAGAAAAGATTACTAGTCTAACAAGATAAGTATACTTTCATGTTAAAGAAACATAGTAAATGAAATGAATTCCTCAACACTTTGATTTTTCTTTAAATTTTTCTACTGTTACCCTCTAACTTTACTAACAGACCCAAACAGCCATCTTTATCTTTCTCACAAGAGCGCATATGTTGGTAGGGTCAAACGAATAGTAATTTATTCATGAAAGTGTGGTACATTAGTCATTAATGTATATTATGTGATATTAAAAACATGGCAAATTGATGGCGTTCAGTGTTCATTGAAAGCTCATGACACAACGATCTGAACCCCCAACAAGATTTTGAGAATCTCTTAGTGCAATTCATTTGCAATAATATATGATATGTGACATCAAATGCAAGGTATATTCATGAGGTTCAAAATTCGTTGAAGGCTAACAATTCAATCTTCTTGGCCCTCTAACAAGATTTAGGGAATTTCTTCTGGATTCTTTAACAATTTTCAACCTTAGTACATAGGGTTATTTTCTTTTCTTTTTCCATTTTTATTGAGATGTAAACTCTTTGATAAGTAAAATTCGATTTTCCAAGTATTTGAAGTCATTAATTCATGTGTGAAGCTTGAATATAATTGTTGGAAGTGCACATTAGCCATTCTATTCTTCTCTTTTTTCCTGGACTTAGAATTTACTCATCATTTAAAAGCTCATTTTTTGTGCGATTTTCTTGATTTTACTCAATTAGATGTGCGACTAGTGATTTTCAATGCAAAGCAAATATCAGATCTAGCAATGGCTCAAAGAAATTATAATGCGCAAATGAAATCATCTCTTTATGGATTTTACGATTATAGAGTTTGGGTAAAGTAAAAATATAATTATTTTGATATAGTTCAATTAGCGTGTGTTTGCATGTTAGATTTATATTTTGTATGCTAAACCTTAAAATCTCTAAAAATTTTAGTTTATTTATCAATTCTTTATTTCCATTTCTTCCATCTCATAATTTCTCTAGAGTTGCATGCAGCTTTAAACCTTGATACATCAAGCACAAATTAGATATAAAGCTTTGGTTTTGTTAACGAATGCTCAAAAGCTCAAATATATATCAATCATATGCCCGAATCTTGACCATAAGCAAGATGATAATTTTTCCAATTTTGTGCAATTTGTGATATACCCACAAATAATTTTTCCTTATGGATTGACAAAGAGTAGCATCCTCTTTAAACCATGTTAAGTCTTTTGTGCGACTTTCTCACATGAGCATGTCAAGATATTATTTTTTCTAATGGGAGAATAAAATCTTAGTCATAACAAAGAACCTACTATTAATTCGATAAATGGAGATCATCAATCTACAATACATATGTTCATGTGCATATACATAGGAAGGTTATGATGCCTCACAAGTTGGTTCATGGTAGATGATAAATAGACACATTAGGATTTATGATTTTAAAAGCAAATTAAACATTTACTGTGAAAAAACATGCAAAATCATAGGATAAATTATTATCCCGAAACAATTATTAACAATTTTGATGAAAATTGGAGACAAATGAGATCAATTTACACTATAACCAACAGTCTTCAGCTAGCAATTAACAATGATAATAAGGATCAAGAACGCGCAGTGAACATATTTGAAATTCTCACAGTTCATAAAAACTCAAGAGTTGCAAATCTGACTGAACAGAGTCACTCTTTTAAACAAAGAATGAATATGAAAAAAATAAAAGGAGAGAAATAAGGAACGCTTTAGGAAAGAATTCAACTATATTGTTGTTCAAATAATAATTACAAACATATCTTTGAGGGGTTTCATCAAATCAGAGATAATTATGTTGCATGGTTATCACAAAAAAAAGTCTAAAAATGATCTGTTGTCTTATGCCTAGAAGTGCAGTAATATCATGGAATGTTGTATTACAAACCTCCTTGCATATAAATTTCGCCATTCCTGCACCCATTCTCATGGTAATATTTTTAATTGCCTCTTGGTAGCTGAAAAGAAACTCAAAACAATATACGTCAGTCGTTCTGAAAATGAGGAATCTTGAATGTATTGTCAATGTGTAGTAGCTACTTTATGCCATAATATAGCTTCTGAAAACAAAACGGAAAGATATGCCATGCAATATGGAAATGCTTAGAATCGGCAAGTAAAGACCTTTTGAAAGAAATATTCAAGAAAAATATGTGCACATTTTTAGGGCACTGTATAATATAGATAAAGCTTTACAGCATTTGAAAGGAAAAAAGAAGATTTTACTAGATTACTAATACGAAAGACTATTTTATTAAAGCAATTAAAAACCTAGAGCTAGAGTCTTCTTAATTTATCTTAACCCAATTGTCAAAGTTCTTGAACATTTAAACATCCAGAACATGCCACAAACAACACAAACATTAGATTTTCTTCCTTAGTATCATGGCTTCTTTTTCAATAACATGGATCCTAATGTGATAATTGTAACAACCCAAACTCGTAACTATCGAGGTATTGTCCGCTTTGACCTAATACCCTCATAGTTTTATCTAAGTGGTGTAACTTCACAGGAGTTCCCATCCTAGAATTTCTCCCACATGAGCACGCTTAGCCTTGAAGTTTCTTAATGAAATTCCAACAATTACATTAAAAGAAGTCTTGATGTTTAAGAGTTTAGATTCTCTTTATGTAAGAGATTTCACAATAATAGCATGAAGTACAAAAATTAGATACCTTAGAACTTTAATGTGGGATGCTTATGTTAATTGATTAAATTTATATATAAAAATCAAATCGAGTGGAATCATCATGGCCATTACACATTTAGTCTTTAAATAAATTTAGGGTTGGTTTTATCTTTCATCGCAATTCATTTAATCTAAGTGCTGAATCTCAAAGTTAATGTTTATTTAGGACTAACCATGTTATTTATCACATATCCATTTCCGTTCATATCCCTTTAATACTGAGCCTACCCTGTGCAAACCATATCGATCCATTTATGCATTGGAAGAAAATTTTTTTGATAATATTTTATTTTACTACTCTATGATAAAGGGTGCTCAATGTGGTAGTTTTATAGCTACTCGATCAAACTAAACCATCCAGGTTGCATGGGGGGTGTTCAGAGAAGTAAACAAGGAGCAAGTAAACTAAATAGTTGTCGTTGATATTAATTGGGCTAACAAGTTTCATTCGGATGGTGCAGAATTTTTTCAAGCAATCACCAACAGGATTCAATCATTTCGAAGACTCATTAATTTTTTTAAATTCACTAGTTTTACTTAAAAATTAATACTTTGAAGGGAGTAGTCCTAAAAATTTACTTAATTATTTATTTTAAGAAAATAAAGAATGCAGAAAGATAACATAATTGAATAGAGAACTTCATTTAACTATGGAAGATGAAATCCATTATGAAACATAAACATTTCCGACATTAAGTGTGCCTACTCTTCCTCATCCTTCTATCAAAGGTGAAGATCAATATGCAATTTAATATTTGAAAGTATGGATTAGAAAGGACCTTTTGTGCAGCTCTGTGAAGGCATCTGAAACAAAGTGGAACTTATCCATCAGGACTTTGTAAGCATTCATGCCACCTAAAAGAGGGGAAATTTTGTTAGTGAATAGAAGCGGTTGAGGTATTTAAACATAGGATAAATTAATTCTCCCTGTTTTTATTTGTTTGATATGATATATTGTTTAGAAAAGTGTAACACAACATTCATACACAACAGCGATTTTTATTTTTGTTTTATCAAAATAATTATAGTCCTTTGACCAATTTAATAAAGAAAATTATTTTTAAAAATAGACAAAGAAATGATTATCATTAATGAATCATAACTTTAAAATATGTAATTTCCTTACATTAAATGAAAAAAAGTCTCTAATATTGATGTGTCTTTTTGAATTTTTATAACATTAGATACCTCAAAACTTTTATGTATAACTCAAAAGCTTGATTATTTAAGTACTACAATTTTGAACAACTTTATTGTTAATATTACTGTATTTTTTTTTTAACATTTTGTGTCCTCTTAGTTTATAAATACACACACCCAATTATTGCCCTCATTATTGTACCCTTGTTTCCTTGTAATCAAGAATGTCTCCTCAACACAGTATGCCTTCACTTTGCTCCGACGCTACTGGTCAACATCATCTACCTTCACTTCGCACCAACACATTCACATTCGATTTGCCTTAAGTTGCTATGATCATGGTGGGCGTGTCAATGCTTTGTTGGGCATCTCGCAGATGGTCTAGCTTGTTTTGGCTATGATGATTGTGAGCTTTGGCATTCGCATCCAATAACTATTTATGCTCCTCATCCTCCAACTACTCATTACAGCCTAAGAATAGGTGTGTCTCTCCCACTATGGTCAAATAAAAAGAGAGATATGAAGCTTTCACGGAGGAAGCAATCTCTATCAAGGTTCACATTAGATCCCCTACGAGCTTCTGGATGTGAACAAATGGCGTGTCCTTCCACCAGAATTTGCTAGTGAATGAATAAGTTGAAAGGCTTGTACGTCCAATCTGTAGTTGCTAAGTGCTCAATCTAACAATAAGGACGGTTACCTGACTAGCAATTGTTCGGTGCCTAAAACCAGAAGTCCAAATGGTGAAGTTCAGTGGTTCTAGATTCCTGCCCCTCTTGACGGAATGGATTTTTCTGTCCCATCCAGATATTTCATGACCCGGACTTGTGTCTTTTGAACTATTAGTCTCCTTTTGTGATGCACTTGTTGATTCTTCTTAAGGATAGAATGAATCTTCCATAAAACAACTCATTTGAATAATTTTATGGTAGGATTGGGCCTAAAGGGTTCTTGCAATATTTATTTTGTTGGATTCAAAGCATGTCCTTATTAGGCTAAATAATGATGACGAACACACACAGTTGTTTTCTACAAGAACTTTCTACATCAACGACATCCCAGTGAGTTTGCTCAAATACACCCCTTTGATATCAATAAGGAATTAACCATTGTTCCTGTCCAGATATCGTTTCCAAGTACTCATGTACATTTCATGAACTTTTACACCTTATTTGCTTTAGCTTTAATATATTTTTGCACTCTCAAATTAGATGTTGCTATTGCTAATCTATCTAAACCTTCAATTGCACGAATTCTTGCATAAATGAATGTGTCTAAACAATTTGGGAAGGAAATTTGGCTAATCATAAAAATATGGTTACTTATATAAGGTGGAGTTCGGAGTTTAGGAACGTTCCTTTTTATTCACATTGTAAAAAGCAAGGGAACAACAATTCAAAGTTTTTTTAGCCTTCATCCAAACTTGAAAAAAAGTAACTAATAAGAATTAGATAATGTTAATCATAGAAACCGCTATGTGGCCCTTAGGGTAAATTAGTGCCCTGAGAAACTAATGACAAAACAATTGATTGTCAGCATAAGGTGGTAGATGGAAAAATTGAACTCCTATGATTTGCAATTATTACAAGCCTATGTATCAAAACACTAGATTCAAATATAAAAACCCCCATCACAAGGTCATTCAAGGATTGTTCATTCTAGTCTACCCAATCACCAACAAACTCCCAAGCAGTCATCGTCCATAGTGTCTTTTGTGGAAGATTTCCTATCTTTCACAATCGTCATTTAATTAGACCACAAAAGATGGAGATTTCATTAAAATGGTTCTTGCCAAAAAGTCTATCACGTCTCCTATAGAAGACCTGAGGGTCACCATCATTAATTTTCTTTTTCTTTCTACCTAATGTAATTATATAAATATTGTATTTCTTCTCTCAAAAGTGAAATCTTCCTACTATAATTCTCTTCTCTTCCTTCCCTCTCTCGGCTCTCTCAAAAAAGCTCTACAAATATCACCAAACTTCTTGAAAGTAATCTAATTATTAATATAGTAGATATTTTCTCTTTCTTGCCCTTACAATGAACATAGGTTAATGAACTGAACCACTGTCTCTTCTTCAATCTCTTCCTCCTTGTAGAGTATCTTAAACTCAATATTTTCTCCCATTCTCTTTCATAAACCCCACTACAAGAATCCTTTTTTCCATTATTTTTCGTTCAAAATCAAATTCTCATTTAAATGTAATAAAGAAAGCATGCTTCTATTATTAAGGTAAACAACAAAAGAAACATAAGACCCTCGTTAAACAAAACAGGCTTCTGTGAAAGATTAATAGCAAAATGGAAGACAATTTATAAACTTCTAAAGGAACTTACATGAGAAATGCCAATCACGGTCATTTAAATGCTCATGAAATCCTAACAAAATTGGCACCTTAGTGTCAATAGGAATTCTCATATCATCCTCTGCAAATCAGCATGAAACTAAATTAGCTCGCATAACCTATTTTAGCTTAGAAAGTTGTCAAAAATAAGAATCAGGAGCATGACATATAACAAAATAATATTAACCATTTCAGAATATTGCAAAACTATATTCATAAAATCAAACAATATTTGAAATGCATTCTTGTCATAAAAGTGTCTTCAAATCATTTAGTGCAAAAACATCCTTGCTTATGAATGTCTCTAACTGAATTTTTCCAATTTCAAAATTTAGCCAAAAATATGATTTCAATCAGTGTGTTTCTTTTATTATCCTTTTAAGCCCAATAAGAAATTTGGAGCATATCCACAAGTGGATGAACATATATAAATTATTAATCTATGTCGTAATTATATGTATTTTTAGAGTACTTATTTGCTTTCAGTAAAACTTATTTGCTACTCACATAGATGTTAGACTGTTAGTACAAGGGTTTGCTTTGGCGGGCCATCAAGGTTCTGTCTAGAACCACTCTACTTAGTTTTTACAGCCATGCCAAGGCGGGCATGGTGAGGAGCTTGGAATCTGCCTGTTACGTTCAACAAAGCAAGGCCACATGCCAATATGTGCATATATTTAGAGAATGCTTCACCACTCGCAATGCAGAAAGCCACTTCAAATAAATCCCTAAGTTTGATAAAGAGTAATAGTAAAGAAAGTTATGAAAATGAATGTAAGAACATTTGTAATGCTGTTAGGTAAGAAACTAAGATCAATACCAAGAATATTGTGCAAAAAAATCTAATATTGATAATCGTTGAATCCTATATTTCTATATAAAAAAGATAATAATTCTAGAGTCATTTATTTTAGTTGACTAAACTAATTAGTCAATGTTAAGTTAATTATAAAATTTACTGATCTTAATATTCACTAATTAAACATAATGATACTAAAATTTTAATATTATTTATGTCATATTTACATTTTTTTAATCAATTAACTACTAATGCTACATATTTTGCTTAAATAATTGTTAAACCATTTTGTTTTATCATAGAAACAACATTATTAATTTTCATTTTTATCCCTCTCTTCCCCTTCTTTCTTGCAATGACATGAATGCTTTGCTTTGCAAAAGGTTTAGGCATACTTCTATTTGACAAGATGAAAAATATGTTGAGATAATTTTTCTAACTAACCTTAATCCCAAAGTCGAAACCTACTATATGGATTTATTTTACATGCTTTTCAGGCATTCCTAAAAACTTTGTATTGCCACTTTAAGTATGTTGCCTACCTACTAGTATCATAAATATAACATCTACATGTTTGTTACCTACACCACCTCTAAGAAACATATGAGATGGTTGCATGATTTTGAAATGAATCGCTCATTATTCTTATTTGTCTAAAACCAATATAATTAAAATCTCCAAAATGTTTAAACATAATACTTATGGAAAGTCATCAAGAACAACAGTGTAGCAACTAAGAACAATGATGTTATAACTAACTTTGAGCATCAAAGAAATTGCATTATAATATGGAAGCCTATGGCAGAAGATGTGGGAAAAGAGCTGAGGAGAACAGACCAATAGTATCAAGGGCTCTAAGAACCAAATAGAAGATGCAAACCTGCACAAACAAAGCACAAGGTCAACAATATTGCGGTTAAGATAGCAACATGTCATAAAAAAGTAGGGGTGTCAATTCGGGTCAACGAGTCGGATTCGGGTCGAACACGGAACTGACCCGACACTATTCGGGTCAACTCGAACCCGACCCGTTTTAAAAAATGGATCAAGTTTTCGGATCCGAACCCGACCCGATTCGGGGCCGGGTCAACCTGACCCAACACGAATGACCCGGGGTTGACTCAAAATTGCTAGTTTTAGGGTAAAAATCGGGTCAATCTTCGATTTTTGGGTCAAAAACGAGTCAATCTCGGGTTTTCGGGTTAAATGCGAATTTTTGGGTCAATTTCGGGTTGTTGGGTCAACCCGAACCTGACCTAATTTTTAAAACGGATTGATTTGTTGAACCCGAACCCGACCCGTTTTAGGTCCGGGTTGACCCTAACCCGGATTTTTCCGGGTCGGGTTAGGGTCGGGTTTTAGGTCGTGTCGAAAATTGACACCCCTATAAAAAAGGAAAGAACTGAACAAGTGTAAAAAATTACATCCATTTCTAAATTACGGTTTTACCAAACTTAAGCCATTGCCTTAGGTCATTTATAAACTTATCATAGCATCATTTTCTTTTTTAATTTATTATGATATTGATGAGGTTCAAACCAAAGACCGTGGAAACAACGTCCAAGGCCCTAATTGAAACACCTAGAAGTTTGGGTAGCGTTTAAATGCATAAAAGAAGATTATGTCTCAAGCTTGCATATTGATACTTAGAAGGTAACAAGGATGCTATGATGATAGCATGTGAAAGCAAGAATAGAACCACTTATATGATGTAAAACTCCAGATAGTGGGATCAACTATTATGGATGTGTTTGAGACAAATTTTTTCATAGCCTTATTTTATAGGTTGCTGCAAAGTTTAAAATTACACAATGGAGAAAAAGGATTCATGTAGCCGACCCCACGTAGTGGGATAAAGGCTTGATGTTGATGTTGTTGTTGTTGTTGTTGTTGTTGTTTGCAAAGTTTAAAATTACGTAATTAGGTATTGAAGCGTTTTTCGTTCATGAGGCGAGGTGTAAGCCTCAATAGGGGTGTCAAGGTTCAGGTCGAACCCGACACTGATCAGCTACTGTTTGACACGATCCAACCGGGTTGACAAGTTGACCCGACTCGACACGAAACTCTTGAATTTAGAATGGCAAACAGCGAACTCCCTCTTGTCATCGTCATTAATTCGCATCTCAGCGAAGGAAGAGAGCGCGGGATTGTCGACCAACATCTTCCGTTCCAAGCACAGAAATCATCTTTCGTGGCTCATATTGATTGATCATGCAAATGTAAAATAGGTTCAAAACAAACTACAGAAGCATCTGGAATGCTCTCAATTACATAATCATACCTGTCTCCATAATCCATGTTGATTTGTTGTAAACTTACAAAAGCAAAACTTGTGAAAATGTATACAGGTAAAGAGGGAGAGAGGGAGAGTGCGGCATGAGGAGATACCTACGACTGTACAAACAAAAGGGGACGTTGAAATCCCACTGGCTGAGACGAAGGTGGAAGACTTTTGTAAGAGGAATGAGAAGCGGGCGGGAGAGGCGGCGTCGCGGAACGGCGACGTCAGCAAGGCCTTCAGGCTGGGTTGAGAGTGCGGCTGTGCTGGTAGGAATCGAGATTTCATGTACAAGGGAGTTAGGGTTGGGTCGGTACCGGGTCATTTTTGGGTTTCCGGGTCAATCCGAACCCGTCTCGTTTTCTCAAACAGGTCGAATCGTGGAACCCCAACCCAACACGTTTGCAAAATGGATTGACCCTAACTCAAAATTTTTGGGTCAAGTTTGGGTTGGTTTTAAAACTTGTGAAAATGTATACAGGTAAAGAGGGAGAGAGGGAGAGTGCGGCATGAGGAGATACCTACGACTGTACAAACAAAAGGGGACGTTGAAATCCCACTGGCTGAGACGAAGGTGGAAGACTTTTGTAAGAGGAATGAGAAGCGGGCGGGAGAGGCGGCGTCGCGGAACGGCGACGTCAGCAAGGCCTTCAGGCTGGGTTGAGAGTGCGGCTGTGCTGGTAGGAATCGAGATTTCGTGTACAAGGGAGTTAGGGTTGGGTCGGTACCGGGTCATTTTTGGGTTTCCGAGTCAATCCGAACCTGTCCCGTTTTCTCAAACAGGTCGAATCGTGGAAGCCCAACCCAACACGTTTGCGAAATGGGTTGACCCTACTCAAAATTTTTTGGTTGAGTTTGGGTTGGTTTTTCAGGTTGTGTCAAATATTGACACCCCTAAGCCTCAAGGCATTTTGAGGTGTAAGCCTCAAAATCTAGTAATTGCATGAAGTGAAAATAAAGGTTGAAAGTGATTTTTTTGATAATACTAAAATAATATGTTAAAGAATGACATATTAGTTTTTTTGTTGAACTATGAAGAAACAAATTGACATACATATGAAAAAAATTGCACATGATGTAAAGTGGCAAATGATAAATTGCGTCCAAGAGCAAAACAATATAAATATAAGAATTGCATAAAAGTATCATATAACATCAAGTTTAACTTCAAATTCCTTCTTTGTCACTTCCTTACTCACCCACAATTAATTCTTAAAGAAAGTTAAAATAGTTGTTAACTAAAAAATCATCTGCACGATCATCATTGAGGGGGTTTTTATTGGAGTCATTATCATAACAAATTGGTCTCTCTTATGCCTCATCTTGTGGAGTCCAAGCCTCCCAATTTGTTTTTTCATCATTTATTTCAGTTATCTTCCTCTTTCATAAATATTTTCATCAATATAATGATGAGAGTAATACTCCTAAATTTTTAGAGGAGGTGGTGGTGGTGTGCGGCTTTCAAATGATCCTTGAAGGTGGCTACGACAGCGGTGGCTGCAGCGAAGGTGGTATCCTAGAGGTCAAGGAAATCGAGAGGAAGTTGTTGCAGCTTGGGGATGCAATAAGGCATGATTTGTTTGGGGTTTTAGTTTAGGCTTTAGGTAAGTTTTAATATATATATATATATATTCCCTCACGCCAGCAAGGCGAGGTGCTTCTCAAGGCGGGCCTCAGCCAAGTTGAGGTGCAAGCCTCATAAAAAGGCTCTGAGGCGTAAGCCTCAAAGCATTTTTCAGTGGATATGCGCAGAGGCGAGACTCAAGAAAAGCCTCATATTGTGCAATTTTAAACAATGGTTTGTTACCATACTTTTGTTTGGCTACAAGTATTTTGATAATTTTCTAATATTTTTATGATGAATAGGGCTGCAAGCGAACCAAACGTTCGACGAGCTACTCGTTGTTCGGTTCGATTAAAGCTCGTTTGTGATCGTTTAATTAACTAAACAAACAAACTTGAACAATATTTTAAATACTCGATTCTTAAATAAACAAACTTGAACACTAATGCGTTCGGCTCATTTATGTTCGTGAACAACATCATTTGAAGTTTGTGAACAAGCTCGACATTAAGCTTGATAAGAAGCTCGATTCGTGTTTGATTTTGAACTTGTGAATAAGCTCGATAAAAATAATTAATATTTGACTATATAATTAATAAATATAAGTAATCATTGCCTTTATTACATAGACAATTGCTTTTATTATAAATGTGTTTGTTCATAGATATATTCATGAATGTGTTTGTTTGATAGTTAGAAAAAATTTGTTAAATATGTTCGCGAACAAGCTTGATAAGCACTAAACGAACGAACATGAACCGAACATGAGCACTCATTAATTTAAATGAACCAAACATGAACACAAACAATAAAGCTCGAACAAACATGAACCAAAATTGAACAAGCTGATATTAAATGAACACAAACATGAACACTCACATACTCGGCTCGGCTCGGTTCGTTTGCAGCCCTAATGATGAATTTCTCATAGTTAGATCTAATAGAGTATGGTAGCAATAAGAAAGTTGTTGCATGACTTTTTTAAAAGGAAAAGAGTTTATAATTATAAAGCAGCTTTAAAAAATTTTATTTTTCTCATAATAATTTCACAATTAATTTTACAAGCAGTTGCAGTTGTCCCAAATAAAGCCTAAATCCATTGTTGGTGAGGATTGAAAAAAATGTACAATGCGGAATAACATTCTTTGAAGTGGTAGCTTCCAAAAGGCGGTAAGCATTATAGGGTAGACAACTAATTTAACACTGATAGACAGGTTTACCTTTTAACTGACTAACATATTGTAAGTCTTCAGTCAACCCCTATGGATGATAGAGAAGGATTGCCGCACAAAAAATGACTCTCAATATATTGCATTAAAATGTAATCTCCAAATAGGGGGTTGTTGAGATATGGAGATAATTTCCTCATCAATCTTGTTTGAAAAGATAAAGCTTACTACAGATTGGCTTCATGTATTTTTCATACATATCTAAAAATTCTTTATAATCTCTAAGAGCATGTTGCCTACCACCAAATACATCTACAAGTTTGTCACATATGCATCACCCATTCTTCTCATTCATTAAGGCAAATGTAGAGGCAAAGGCCGTAGACTATGGATTCTAGTTGATTACTTTGTTTATGTAACACAGGAATTTCTTAGTTGGGTAGCCAGCAACAAACACTAAAGGCCAAAGGTGACAGTTATAAACCATAGATCATCACAAAAAATCGATAACTATCGCTGGAGCTGATGACCAACAGATATGGTCTGACATAAGAAGCAAAAGATTTTCATGTCTCCAAAAAGCATAGCCGTTAGATTGCTCATTTTCAAATTTGAAGACGGAATAAAAAAGAAATTGAAAAAATAAGGATGGAAAAAAAATGAAACACCTATTTTGGAGTACAAATATCTATATATTTCACTTTTTCGGACATTAATATAGTTGGATCACTCGGCACCGCTTCGAGACTCTTAAATTTGTTCTCCCGGAACTTCTCCCAAACAGAACACAAGCCAGAAACGGCATCAAAGAAGCGAATATCAACCCAGTTTCAACGATGAAGACAACCAACACCCAGGGGTGTTTAGAAAGGCAATACTTACAGCATTCCGGAGCTCGGGTTTGAGCTGCTTGATTACAAGGAAGAAGCTACGAGAGACCTTTTGCAGCATCGAGTACGCGAATCCCCAGTGAGACTCCGCCGGAATCTGCCGTTTTATCTTGTTCGCCTCCACCTTCATCTTCATAAGAGGCATCAAATCCTCCGGATGCTCCAGAACCGCCTTCACTATCCCCAGTCTCCCACTATCCTTCATCATCCCCATGGTTTCCCCTCTCTATCTCCCTCCCTTCTCCTCTTAGAGTTAAAGGGCCGGTGGCTGGTGGCTGGTGGCTGGTGGCTGGTGCTCAGATCAAGGGAGGCTATTTATTGCGACGCTTCTACAGTTCTACTCCTCGCAGCACGGTGCGGCTCGCCAACTGGCATCAAGGGTTTACCGGCAACGCGGTGGGAAGCAGCATGATCGCCACATTGTGAGGAAAGCCACACAAATTGGAAACGATAGTAGGATCGCATTGAAGCGTGGCCAAACGCTCTCTCCCGCTAGCGGCGTGATTCGGTTTATATTTTAATATTTAAAAATTTGAATTAGTTCGTTTTATATATTTTTAGCAAATGTAATATTTGAGTAATCATTTAAATTTTATTTTATATTTATTTTAAAACAAAATTAATCATCTCATAAAATTATTTTACTCTAAGGAGCCTTTTGATTTGAAGTAAAATGGTTGTAATATTTTTTTAATGTATAAGTTTTGAAAATATTGGTATTTTGTTTGAAATAAAAGAAATATAGATTAAAATTTTGAAGTATTTGAAATTCAACATTTAATTTATTTTTTTAATATTTGGAAATTATTAGATTTAGTTGAGTTCCAATTACACTATAAATTATTTGTCATTGACATCTTATTTGTTTTAGAAGCTTTGTTTGTTAAATAAATGAAAAAAATATATGTGAATTGTACAAAGTACAACTTTTTCCGACTTAAATTTTATGATATACAAAGGGTTAGTTGTACATATCTCTGCTTGGCTCGTGTTAACCTAGAGGGTCATCATGGGGTATGATAAACTGATACACACTATCGACATAAAAATGTTGTGGACCAGATGACTTTGTCGTATGTGGTCACTAACATATAAGATTGATGCACTCTGTTGACACAATATTGATGCCTACCAACTATCATTTGTCTTCTCCATCTTTTTCGATATATAAATTATCTTATAAGATTAATACATACCGTTGACACCAACTCAATCTTAATCCGAATATCTAATTCTTATATTATAGTATCATCTCCTAAAAAAAGAACAACCATACATAATACAAATAATCTCTTTAAGATAACTCTAATATCTTAAGACTTCTCTAATTTTCACCATGGAATTTATCCTCCATACTTTATATGTGCCATATTATATGAACACCTTCTAGGGATGGACATCATTTGTAATATATACATTCACTAATGAAATCATTTCAATTAGGACTAGGCTCCTTGATTTTTCTCATTTATGCGTTCCAACATAAAAAATATTGTACCTATGAGCTCCTCTTCACTTATCTATATATGTGTAATATCTTTATAAAATGCCGAGAAGATAAATTTTCTTTTTCTCTATTGCTATGAATTTTATAACAAACAACAATATGAAAATTTTCTTTATATGCATCGAAATTGGAAAAACATGTCCGTGCTTTATTTTATTAGAGAATAATGTCGGAAAGTTTATTTTGAATCAATTAACCCTAGTATTATAGAAGTAGGGTTTGAAACCCTTCCTTAAAAGACAATCAATTTTCAAACAAAAGATATTTGATTGTTCCTCTTCTCAACCCCTTCTCCTTCCCCAACAATTTTCGAGAATGTATGCTTGGTTTTTTATGAAGTTTCATGAAGAAGTTTTCGTCTTTTCCTCCAATTATATATTCAAGGTTAGTGATGTAATATATTTGAGTATTTTAATTTGAATATGCCAATCTTACTCCAAATCTTAAACCCTTAATAATATTAGCCATCAAATAGCTCACTACAAATATGTTAGAACCATGTTCAAACCATCTTCGAATATTATTCAAACAATATTTTAATCTAATTCTACATGTTTACTTGGTTAAAGATAAGGAAGCGTTCTTTAGATATCTATGAGATATACTATCATGGGAGAGGGTTGAGCATTGGAGAAAGATATGTTGCACTATGAGGTCACTAACCTAAAAAAGAACACCCCTAGAGGTGTCAACAAATGACCTAACCCGTTTAATATCTTAGTTGGGTTCAAGTTGACCTGCAAACCCATTTTTTAAACATAAAATGACTTGTTTAATATCTTTTTTCCTTATTTTTTTTTTCTTGAGTGTATAATCTTTATATTTTTTAATCAAATATGCTAAACTTTATAGTTAATCAATTATAATTTTTTTTAACATAAATGGATTTATGAGTCAGGTTTGAGTTATTCGGGTTGCTAGTGTGACGCCCCAGACATCCATAGTGAAAGGATTCGTCTGACATTCTGATCGAACTTCATTCCAGTTATTCGGGTTGTTAGTGGGTTAGGTTCAAGTATGTGTTTTTGACATGTTTATTAAACAAGTTAGGCTTAGATTGATTAGAATCGGGTCAGGTTAATTTTGGGTCAAATTCGAACTTGACCCATCAATCCTTTCGGTGCTCCAAAATACCCCATCCAAGCGCACTATAAACTAGATATGTCATATCATTATAATGTTGTGCATATGAAGCCATCATTAAGGATATTTAGTTGAGAGAGAAAAAAGATGTTCATGGGCAAAGTTTGTTTGTCGTTATTATAAATGAAGTTGAAAGTGTTATACCTTCATTCATAAGCCCTTTTAATCTATTCTTTGTAGTTGATTTTTCACCTTATGTGTTGTACAAAAACTTGATGAGAAGGACTTATACTAGTTCGCTATATATATACTCCATAGCTTATCATAGTTAGAATTATGAAGAAGAAAGTTACCACCACTCATCCTAAAGGAAAAAGTAAGAGGGGCTAGAGAATCTGATTGTTGTTTAACCTATGCCCTCTTTGAAGGGTTTATGCATGTAGCATATTTTATTGTACGAGAGCTGAAGAGTGGCCAACTTAGGCTAAAGTATAATAGTTAATCTTGAGGCTTAAAATAGATGATCTGATCAATCTTGTTCAAATTTTGTACAAATAAAAGAGAAGGAGAAGAAGAAGGATAGTGATGGGTAATTGCTGGTCACTCAACCATTCATTTGATTAAGGGGCGGATGAGAAAAAGAAAGAGAATAAAATAGAGGAAGTAGAGGAGGTGATGGATGAGATGGGGGATGCTAACCGCTTGAGTAATATATTGCTATTTCATGTAGAAATAAGGAGGTTGAGAATGCATAAAATGTTAACCCATCATTTTTTTATTTGTACTCAAAGGTGAGGCAAAATTCTTAGATTATACAAGAATGAGGTAAACAAATAAATAATATTTGACTAGGGATTCCATAGATCCATTAGGAAAGAGGCATAAGCCTATGAATCTTGTTCTTCTTATTAATGATGAGTAATTATCTTCTTTCAAGTCTTACATGTAAGGATTTATAAATAACTCTAAAAATTGAGTGAGAGGTGTTTAGTAGTGCAAGCGTCGGACGAAAAGCGCTCCGCGGCCTCCGAAAATGAACTTTTCCTTTGCTTTTCTTCTCTTTCTATCTCCTCAGATATTTTCGTTTTTATAAAATGATTTTCTCTCTCCTCAAAACGAGCTGATTTCCTTATAACATTAGTCTGATCGGCCCGGCCGATCGCCACATCGTCCTGGCCGATCAGAACAAAATCCAATCGGCCCGAACAATTCCTCAGGCTGATAATTTCGGTTTTGCTCTCGGGATTTTTGTCTCATCTGATCGTCCCAGGACGATCCAAAATCGGCCTGGACGATCCCATTCCAGAAAAATCAGCTGTTTCACTGCACTGATCGTCCCGGACGATTCTGGGAGAAAAACTCAAATCTAGAGAGGCAAATCAAAGGAACGAGCTCTCACAATCTCCCCACCTTAGAAAAATGTCGTCCCGACATTTCCCCCCCTAAGGGTCCAAAGCAAAACGAAACAAAACAAATCCAATCAAAATCAAAACTCGGCAAAAATCAATACAAGTCATACAATTCAATCAATCACATGTCACTCAACATGTATGCAAAAATATTTTCGTTTTTATAAAATGATTTTCTCTCTCCTCAAAACGAGCTAATTTCCTTATAACATTAGTCTGATCGGCCCGGCTGATCGCCACATCGTCTTGGCCGATCAGAACAAAATCCAATCGGCCCGGACGATTCCTCAGGCCGATAATTTCAGTTTTGCTCTCGGGATTTTTGTCTCATCTGATCGTCCCAGGACGATCCAAAATCGGCCTGGACGATCCCATTCCAGAAAAATCAGTTGTTTCACTGCACTGCGTCCCGGACGATCCTGGGAGAAAAACTCAAATCTAGAGAGGCAAATCAAAGGAATGAGCTCTCACAGCTAGTGGGTTAGGCATATGTTTGCATTTTTACATGTTTATTAAATAAGTTAGGTTTAGATTGATTAGAATCGGGTTGGGTTAATTTCGGGTCAAATCCGAACTTGACCCATCAATTCATTTCAGTGCTCCAAAACACCCCATCCTAGTGCACTATAAACTAGATATGTCATATCATTATAATATTGGGCTTACGAAGCCATCATAAAGCTAAGGAGGAAATATGTTAAGTTACTTGGAAAAAATATTAAGGATATTCAGTTGAGAAAGCAATAAGATGTTCATGGGCAAAGTTTTTTGTCGTTATTATGAATGAATTCATAAGACTTTTTAAGCTATTCTTTGTAGTTGATTTTTCACCCTATGTGTTGTGCAAAAACTAGATGAGGAGGACTTCTACTAGTTCTCTCTATATATATACTCCTTAGCTTATCCTAGTTAGAATTATAAAGAAGAAAGTTACCACCACTCATCCTAAGGAAAAAGTAAGAGGGGTTAGAGAAATCTGATTGTTGTTTAACCTATGCCCTCTATGAAGGGTTTATGTAGCTTATTTTATTGTACGAGAGCTGAAGAGTGGCCAACTTAGATTGAATTATAATTAGTTAATCTTGAGATTTAAATTAGATGCTATGACCAATCTTGTTCAAATTTTGTACATATAAAAGAGAAAGAGAAGAAGAAGGATAGTGATGGGTAATTGCTGGTCACTCAACCATTCATTTGATTAAGGGGCGGATGAGAAAAAGAAAGAGAATAAAATAGAGGAAGTAGAGGAGGTGATGGATGAGATGGGGGATGCTAACCGCTTGAGTAATATATTGCTATTTCATGTAGAAATAAGGAGGTTGAGAATGCATAAAATGTTAACCCATCATTTTTTTATTTGTACTCAAAGGTGAGGCAAAATTCTTAGATTATTTTATATATTAGTTAATGAAGCAATGAATATAACACTACCTAAATCCCTATGAGTAAGGATTCATTGTGTTTGATTAATTTTTTGGTTAGCGCTCTTCAAGTGGCATGAAGAAACTCCCACGTAAGACATTACAGGGGAGGAAAAGTTTCCTGAGTATTAGGTTAATGTAGAGCTCACATATTCTCCAATGAATTGGAACAAAATATAGTAGTGAATGATATATGAGGTACGTCTCATTGTTAATGCAAACAATAACATATATTAGATGATATATGAGATATCATTGCCTATGAAAATCATAGCGTTGTTGACTCCGTATTCTTCTTTACTGTGATGCTCTAAAATCTAATTTGGAAGTGTTATTTTTTAATCTTTAATTTACATAAAAACAATAGCTACCTAATTTTTTTATGAATATAAATACCAATAAAAATAAAACTATTGATATATATATATATATATATTCCCAAAAAACTATATATATTATTCATGATTTATACAATCATACTACAATTAATCTATCATGAGTATTAAAAAAAAAAGCTAAAATAATAAGAACTTGAAGTATCCTTGAGATTCCCCTGCTCCCTTGTCTTGACCTAAAATTATTTAACCACTATTAATGAGTTCAGGAGCCTAGCACGTAATCAAATCTTACAACTGAACTCAATGTAATGCATAGGAGCAATATGCATGTCAACAGTCAAATCACTATAGTAGTATCACATGATTATGAATAAATGCGGAAATAGTAAAACTCACATGTAGTAGCAATAGAGTCCGACGTGTGAATTATGAGAAGAGAAGAAAGGATAGAGAGAAGGAAGCTTAGGATTTGAATCGTTGAGTAATTTTCATACATAAACTTTTTTGGGAGATTTGCTTGTCTCGTTATAAGGAGTCATTATCTTATTTTTTATTTTAATAATTTCATATTTTTGGTAGTTTTTCAATTAAATTTGTATTTTTATAATCCGAAAATTAAGATAATTTTGTATTGTTAAAAAAATTTCTGCGTAACTTTTTATATGACATAGAGATTGAGATTATAAATATTTTAAGTATTTATTTGAGATTTTTTGTTGTGTGATTTTAAAAAAGCATTAACTTTTTCCTATTTAAAAATTTATTTTAACATCTAAAAATAGTGTTTAAGTTCGATTAAAGCTTCAGAATATTATTATCTATAATCTTTGGTAATTTGGCTAACTTTTAAAAATGTGAAATTCTACTCATTAGAGTTTTTGTTACTTGTCATTAGGATATTTAGGTATTTTTCGAATTAAGCCTAATTATACTTTATTTACTGAAATGCATTGAAAATGAATGTGGATATGTGATTGAGTAATAACTATTCGCTATTACTGCTATAATACTATGATAATTGGAGACTGATTGACATGTACATGATGGTGGGCCGACAAGCTTTTCTTTAAATATCGTAGTTTGGTGTTATCCTCTACTAATCATGTAATATTGATTGTGAGTTATAAGGAGTAATTATTATACATACAAGCAAATAATGACAACTCCGTTTACTAAGCCAATGATTACTGACTACCGATTTTTAATTATTGCTAGAACTTCTCACTTGTTTAGTTTGATTATTGAAATCCATATTATTGAGGCACTGTTCATATTACTATACATATTTATTATTATTGTATGATTTTACTGTAACTGTATTATTTTATTACCTTACCAATAGATTGTTACTATTACCGATATAGGCACTAATACTATTTGATATTAGTAAATCATTATATTGATACTAAATATGTGACATACTGAGCATGCAATATACTCTTTTAATACTGATACAAAATAACTATATAATATATGTACACTCATATATGATTTTATTGCATTTATATAATTTCAACATACTTTAGTGAAGCTTTGATTTTATCACTTTATACAATTTATCTATTGATTGAAAATGCTAATACAACCACTACTTTATTGATTTGACACCTGTATTAGTTTACTGATTTTTCTACTATACTATTTTACTAGCTTCCATATCATATTGCTTTATTATTTACACATTTTTTACTGTTATTAATTGTATGCAAGTTTTACTATTTCTACACTAATTAATGACCATATATATTGCTCCTATGCCTTGTATTGATTTTAGTTATAAGATTTGGTTTCTTTTTGGGCTCTTGAGCTCATTATATGTGGTTAAATGATTTCAGATCAAAACAAGGGAGTAGGAGTATGAAATTGATAAGGATCCTTCGCAGTTTTGTTATTTTAGTTATTGTTTTGTACTCACGAGAGATTAGTTGTGGTATGATTGTATAGATCATGAGTAGTGTATATTATTTTTTGGAAAATGAATATATATATATATATATATATATTGATCAATAATTTTATTTTCATTTTATTTTCATTGTTATTTATATTGATAAAATAAAATAGATAGTTCTCATTGTCATGTAAATTCAAAGATTAAAAAAATAATAATTCTTGAAAATTAGTTTATAGACACACATGTACTCTACACATACGCCCTACAAGCAATGATCGTTTTTATTTTGGCAAGTGCTTCTCTAATTGCTTGAGAAATGTCGGTGGTATTTAATATTAAGGCATGAAAATTGTTCTCTTCAAACTCTTAATAAGTGGAGTTGTCGGCATATATGAGGTTTCCTAAGTTTATAGTAAAGGCAATAAAGCTGAAGGTTCTTAACGAAACAGGCAGATGATCATATACTAGACTTAAATTTTTTTAAGAAAAGTTTCTCTAAACACATACCTTTGCTTTTGGCTTGAATGAATTCTTCTTGTTGATAGACTAGAGAGGGAGTTGAAGGGTAAACTTGAATTATGGAGGTTAACGCTTAGAGTCTAAAGGTTTTCGCTTGAAGTAGATCTAAAGGAATAATTATGGAGTGTAATTTTAGTAGTACATAGACCTAGTGAAGGGATTGTGACTTTTGGCGTCAAGTCATTAATAAGAGTAGCACGTTTTAGATATATTTGGATCTATTGTTCAGAGTGATGGTGAAATAGATGGGGGATATTATCAGGCAGAATTAAGTTGGATGGTTGAAAGTGGAGGAATGCATCGGGCTTTTGTTATGTGATAGAAAATGTACCCCTCAAACTTAAGGGAAAATTTCTATAAGATGGTAGTGAGGCTGCAATGCTTTATGGTGGCCGAATGTTGGCCTTTAAAAGGAAGAATAATTTATCTTAAGTTAAGGTGTTGGGCAGAGATGAGGATGCCCTTAAAAAGGTGGATGAGTGGCTTTACCTTAAGAGGATAGGATACGGAATGAGCATATACGTGGAAAAGGTTGGAGTAGCTCCAGTAGTGAAGATAAGATTAGAGAAGTCGCCTTAGATGGTTTGGTCAATTAAAACGGCGGCCTTGCAATGACCGCGGTTAGGAGATAGAGGTATTAGATTTTACTTATGTTAAGAAAGGTTAGGGTAGAACCTTAAAAAGACTTTGTTATAAAATATTAGGCAATACCTTTCTTTATTAGATTTAAATGAGAATTTGACTTTATTAGGACACAATGGAGAAAAAGGATTCATGTAGCCGACCCCGACGTAGTGGGATAAAGGCTTGAATGGTTGTTGTTGTTACACTTTCATGGTACAATTATATAATATTATATATATATATATATATATATATATATATATATATATATTATATATATAATATATATATTATCATGATTACACTCTATTATATGTCTACATCAACCTTGAAGTTTGTATGTTTGAAAAGGTAGGATTTTGACCCCGCCCCCAATCGATGCTTAGCTTCGGTTGGTGGGCAAGTGCACTTGGGAGCTCCCATACCTTGCTCAATTCCCTCGGGCAACAGCGGCCCTTATGTGGGGACCCTCTTTTAAGCGCGGCCGGGTGGGTTCATGCGTGTTCGGGACCATAATCTAGGTCAAGCCGAGGGACTAGTGACACCGCCAGCGCCTTACAAGTTGAGGTGGCAGCGGGTCGTACCCCCATTTCAAAAAAAAAAAAAAAAGGGTAGAGTTGCACTAATATTTAATGTATAATATATAAATCTCTTTGAACCTTGTTTCAAAGCCGCTTTTCGAATTATTTTCATGCTTGTTTGAAATTATTTGTGTCAAGTTCAAACCCAATTTTTGAAAATATTGAGAAAATATTGAAATTATTGTAATATGGTTCAACTTTAATTTGTATACATATTGACTTTTAAAATAAAATTTACATAATCTAACACTAAAACTTTTAATTATTACATGGCATACCCTATATTAATTTTAATTATCAAATTATACCACTTATATTTCTTTCCTCCATTCAATATATTTCATTTCTACCACTCATATTTGATATGAAAATGAACTATGGGTTGGTATTTATGTATATTAACGTTTTAGGTGTTAAATATGTAAATAGAATAGATTAAGTTGAGTATGTTGTTAATGTCCCTAAAATTTATTGAAGATGATACTTTATTTGAAATTAATATTTTAAACATATTTTTTTAGCATTAATTATGGAGGGGGATTTACATAACATACCACTTTATTTCTTACTATTTATATATCTAACATCTAAAATTTTATTATTACATGGTCTATCATCTAATAGGGAATAAAATTATTGGAAAAAAAGGTTTTTGTTTTTATGGAAAAAAAAAAAAAAAAATTTTTGGGAAAAAATTAAAATTTAATACGATGATATGAATAGTAAAAATAAATATAATAATGAATATATTTGATTGATTAAATTTTTATATGAGTCAAAATAATATAATATTAAAATTTTAAATAATAGACATGTAAATAATATATAAAATACAATTATATATATATATATATATATAACTAAATATACATAATTATTATTATTATGTAGTCAAAATTTTTATGTATTTGTATAGAAGATTTTTGTCGGTTTAGGGTATCCATTGACGTACCTGGTCCATTAAGGGTACATCCGACATGGTTGTTGCGTACTTCTTTCATGCCCGCCGCCGCCGCTGCATCACTGAATCCACTACGTTGGTACGGCGGAATAGAAAGATTTCGGACCCCTCGACGGGCGAACCCTTCTTATTCTGCTTCATTTCTCCATCATTTCGTGCGACGTCTTAGCCAACCCATCTTACATCTGAAGCCCCAGCGAGCCGTTTCTCCTATCGTTCTCCCTCTCGAAGGCATGGCTGGAGGTAAGCGATATCATAACTTCTGAACTTCGATAGCGCATACGACTTCAGCAAGCTGATTTTCTTTTGAAAGGGGAAGCTGGGTTTCCGGTGCCGTCAACAGCATACGAGGAGGCGCTCAATTGCCTGTCCTCTTTGATTACTCGACGGACCCGAGCCGATGGGTCAAACAAGGGGGACAACTTCGATCTTATGTTCGAATATTTGAAGGTGACGTCTGTTTGAAATGAATTTATGGTTCTGTTTTCATTTGGGTTGTAACTGGATGTGAGTTGATTGAGTGACAGATCCTGGAACTGGATGAGCCAATTACCCATTTGAAGGTCATCCACGTTGCTGGAACTAAGGGAAAGGTGGATGAAATTTCGTCATTTGGAAAAGATTTAGTTCTGCTGTTTAAGTGTTGATTACCAGCTTGACTTATATTGATTAGATTGAATCATGTAGGGCTCCACATGTGCATTTACAGAGTCCATTTTGCGGAGATGTGGCTTTCGAACTGGCCTATTCACTTCCCCTCACCTGATTGATATCCGGGAACGGTTTCGGTTGGATGGGTAGTACTTTGAGTTAAATTCAACGATATTTTTTTTCTTTGTTCAGTAAGTTTTTTAATATGCGGCTAATCACGTTATTTTGATAATTTAATGCGTGGTATTCTTTGGTTTGCGTCTCTTATTTGTCTTGCATCATGGATTTTTGGAGATCTTAGCATGTTGAGCTTTCAGACCTGCACATTTTACTGAAAATGAAGCATTCCTAAAAAGAGAATAAGAGGAGAGATCAAAAGAGGATGGGTCGAGGAGATCAAATATGCGTGGTTCACTTTTGTAGCTTATGTCTATGATGCAATGAGAGGAACAAAATTGATTTAAGAGATAAATCTCAACAATCTGTTAGTCCTGATGCCCTTGCATGTTACTGACATAAAACTTTTTCTGGTGAAGTGATCAATCTCTAATTTGTTGCTTGAGAAGCCCACATAACAGTGATGTGCGATTCTCTTCGTCCTTTGCATAATTAGCGGCTATGCATGGCAGCCATGTGGTGGCGCCTTGTAGGCTAAGAAAAACATGTTCCGACGATGCTTTGGGCCATTAGTGGGTGATGTGGTATCATGGGTCAAATTAAGATGTCTTCGATTAATCTAGCTAGATTAGGGCGGTGCGATGTTAAGCGCAGGTAGAAAAACACAGAGTTCATCTGGAGTAAGCTAGCAAGCATGTTAGGGAGACCCTCAGATGAAATGTTGATAATCTTGCAATAGGAATGATTATAAGAAGTGATAGATGGCTAATTAGTACCTGATATTGTCGACATGCTGTCTAAATTTATCTTGATAGAGAACTCAAATAGTACAAAATAAAAAGAGCTTTTGAGCATAAATTTAAAATTAAAATCATTTTAAGTTAAAGTTAAAATAGTAAAAAAAGAAAAAAATGAGAATAAAAAAAAGACCAATATTAAACTTACTAGGACTTACAGGTGACTTGTAATGAACTCAATGGCTCGTCAATTTGGGCAAACATAATTCTTTCTTCGCATCTAGAATTCTTTTGAACGCTCAAAAAATTTAAGAACACACTCAATGAATTGAAGTTGAGATGAAAATGAAATAATATTATCCTATTTATAGTTGAACGGATAATTCCTCATGGATCTCACCTAGCTAAAATTTAAACAAATGAGGCAACATAAAGGATGGTCTGAAACACATTTTGGATTCCAACTCGTGACACACAGAACCGGATCCTCTGAAACACATGTTGGATTCCAACTCGTGACACACAGAACCGGATCCACAATGCATAAGTAAAATGTAAATAGATTGTGAACAATAATGAACTTAAAATGCAAAGTCACGAGCACTATTCAACCATACTATATTCATGTGAATAAATGACAAGTCAATCCCTTACATGTCTCAAGTAGTTATATTCACATGAATGGTCCCCAAATAAAACAAATCAATCAACTAATTGTATATCACGAAGGTCTGAGCGCCTTAAGCGACACACACATTAATTACTAAAAGGAAACTCGTATATGTCTTATGAATAGGTAGTATGCTTCGTGGACGAACAATACATCCCATGAACAAAGAGTTTTTAAATGAGACAAAGTAGTGCATTGTCACAGATCATTTGAACATTTTGACCTAGTGTGCAAGATGTGTTAAATTGCTGAAAGAAATTGTTAGACCGGTTCACAATGAACCGGTCTAGCTCCAGCCGCCCAAAGGGGCCGACTCATGTGGTGATGAAGGACTACTTAAATGCAATGTTCAGGAACTTCAATTAGGCTTTGCACAACTCTTCGATTAGAATAATTTTAGAATAAAGTTACGAGCAATTCTCAATGAAGATTCAAAACAAATAAAGAGGTACTTTGCTTAGGCGAAATCACATGCTCGGAGTTTTGAAGTTTTCAAGATAAATAAGAAAATATAACAATACAAAGTAGTAGCCTTCAAAATAATCCCTAATCTAACAACGAGAATTAGGATGCAAATAAAGCACGCTCAATTCCTATGATTACTAGGCTTAGCAAGAGCATTGGGAGTAGCCTTTAGCGAGTACAATCTTAACCAAACGAGAATTTAGATTTTAGAAGACTTTGAATGCAAGTGGAGAAGGAAAAAACCTTTGCTCAAGGAGATGTGGAGATCCGTCAATCAATATCTTCAACGGCTTTGTCCCTGACTTCCTTTGAACCGATTGGATACGTCTCTCTTACCTTGCAATCTGAAATAATTTCCAGCTTGTCAATCCAAAAAATCTGAGAAGTTTTCTCAGATTCTATTGGACCAAGATGGGGAAAACCAGGAGGAAAAACTAGCCTTAGTTGAGACTAGTGAGCATGAAAGCAAATCTCCCTACAGGTTTTAGGAAGAGGAGATTTAATTCATGCAATCAAGAGAGAGGAAGGGTGGTGACGGGGAGATGGGTTTGGCGGGCTAGAGGGGGAGTGGGTGTAGGAGGCGGTAATGCAGAACAGAGAAACGGGAGAATTAATTCCTTTCCAGAAGTGGAATTATCACTCAGGCCATTCAATACGGGTGAGGGAATTTCGGTCAAACAGGCATTAAAATGATTTCAAATTCTTTCCTAAGTATAGTATTAAGATTAGGAAATAACTGAAGAAGTAATTAGCGGGTGGAGGCGTGAAACCGGCGGCATACAGGGAGGATGGGAGGGAAAATTGGAGAAGTAAATAAGTTTCCTATTTGAAATTCATAAAATTGGAAAGTAGTGATTTATTCCTCTCTTAGTGAAAATTCAAATAGGATCTCAATTATGAACTTTCCTAGTATGGAATAAACTCACACACTCAACGCATACACATAGACTCGAACCCTGAACCTCTTAGTTGGAAGCCTAAGCTCTCAACCAATAGGCCAAGGAGAGTTGTGTCAAATAAAACAAATCAATCAACTAATTGTATATCACGAAGGTCCGAGCGCCTTAAGCGACACACATTAATTACTAAAAGGAAACTCGTATATGTCTTATGAATAGGTAGTATGCTTCGTGGACGAACAATACATCCCATGAACAAAGAGTTTTTAAATGAGACAAAGTAGTGCACTGTCACAGATCATTCGAACATTTTGACCTAGTGTGCAAGATGTGTTAAATTGCTGAAAGAAATTGTTAGACATGTTCACAATGAACCGGTCTAGCTCCAGCCGCCCAAAGGGGTCGACTCATGTGGTCTATAGGAGGCGGAGGCGGAAACCTTGTCCGCCCAATGGGGCGGACCCCACTATTCCAAATAAATGAAAATTTCAAACGGAGTGGGCGGCTAGGGTTTGGGAGGGAAATTAAATTAGGAAAGATCTTGTATTAAAGGGGATGAGAGGGATTAGAGGAGATTATGTTTTTTGTTTAATTGAAAGTTAGGGTTTCTTGGCGTTTGGGCTCTAGACTCTCTTGAATAGAGATTTTGGAGAGACGATCCTCCTCTCGAATTGACGATCAATTGTATCTTGTTTTGTGTTTGCTTGGCTTTGTTTTCTCTGATTGCAATCCATCATTTTGGGGCTGATTTTGCCCAGATTTTGCATTATCCTCGTTGTTTTCACCAATTGGAGATAGGTTTGCTTGTGAACTCAAGTATTGCCCATAGGGTTACTTGCGAACTCAAGTATTTCCTATCAGAAAATTTGTCCACGCCTCCCATATATGTGCAATCTAAACATATTGAAATCGTGCTAATGCATTGTGCTAGCACACTTAAGAAATTGCAAGAGTATTGATGAACATACAAGCACACTAAAGATCGTGTAAGTGTCCAAGTGCATTGAACGAATACACATTGAAATGTGCAAATATGTCATGCAAATATATCAAAAAGTTTATGCGCAACACTAGGCCATTTAAATCAATTCATTTGCATGTACTCCAAACATATATTGAAGTTCTAATTTTGGCGTCTAAGAATGCTCCGCGGGTTAAAAATGAATCGAACCAAATATCTCATGCTTTGAATGATGCATGATCGATCTATTATTTAAAATTCATATTTCTCTTTTTTAAATTCAAAGCTCTTGCACGTGCTCCAACCAAATACTCGAACCTCTAAGTTTAAGGTTCGAGAATACTATGTGGGTTAAAAATTAAAATTGGATTTAAAGTTTATTTATCTAAAAAATATAAGTTCCAAATAATGTACAACAAATCCTATTCTTGTATATGAATGTGAGACTATGAGATCTTTGAAATATTTTATTTTATGTTTGCATCATGTCTTCAATGCCTTTTGCAAGTTAAATTCATTTAAAAATATAAATTCTCAAGTTTGCCACTGATATAGTGGCTCGCAAAGTCAATCCCCAGGCTCAATCCTATGTTTGTAAAAGGCCAGAGTTGCCAAGACTCAACTTAGTAGATTAAATATTTAAATACTCCGATTATGATTGTGTTGAAAATAAATTTCAACCAAAGGGGACCTTACTCTCAAAACGCTCCCAATATTTGAAGTTAATCATTTGAGGCAATTCATTAAAATCTAAAAAAAAATAATTGAATTTTATCCCTTTTATACTTAAAGTAAAATTCGTCCCTCCTTTGCAATAGTTTGATGGGGGTGGTATATTTGAGAATAATCTCAGCTCATGAAGAGCCAATTTTTTGTTGAACGTATCACTACAATTCATTTTCAAATAATCTATCGTTAGCAAGAACGTGATGCATGTCCTCTAATAGATGATAAATTTCAATTAAAATCTATTCATACTTAAAGCAAAATCCATCTACTGTCTGCAATATTTTGATGGGGTGGTAAATTTTAGAATAACCTTAGTTCACGAAGAGCCAATTTCTTGTTAAGTATCACTACGAATCATTCTCAGATAATTTCTCGCTAGTAAGGAAGTGACTTGTGTCATCTAATAGATGATTTTATTACCAAATGACACCACATAAAATTGTTATGACCGAGCCCTCTAACTGAATGGTTTTGTTGCAAGATGACATATTAAATTACGGTTACGACCAACCGCAAGTTTCCCAATGGATAAAACTTTTAAGTAATAAATCATGTGGTGAACTTGATAGGACATAAAATCCTTATTTGTTATAATTGACTCAAATTTATCCCCTCAGACAAACATCTACCTTAGGTTTACTAGATAATCTTGGATGAAACAACTCATGCATGTCATCAATGGTTTTTGGGTTGGCCACCTATGTTGACTAAGTAGACCAGAGATTATGATAGCCTAGGATGATGAGTCATGAGATTTTGATCAGGTTCTTCAGCATTCTCCCCTATGATTCACTTCAAGTTTAAGGTGGCAAATTTTAATTTTGAATCAATTTATTGCTATGATATGCTTTGTATGTAGTGCCGATCTAATGACTAGCTTTAGTCAAAAGTTTTTTTTGTCATTGGGAGGGCTAATTAATCATGAGTGCTTGTGCCTCTAGAAAATATGTAATCATGTCATAAAAACCTCTTAAAATGAAAGTGAAATATCTGGAAATTGTTTTATCTTCCATCTAATGTGCCTTCTGAAAATTTGGCCTGAAACCACTTGAAATGTCCCAGCGAGAGGTTGGGGTGCAAATTTTTAGATACTATGCATCTTAGTAGTGACTTGTTAATTCTCATTTTATAACGAAATTATTATTATTTTTTTAATTTTTTCACTTCTGCAGTATTTTATGCAAAATAAAGTAGTCTGGAATCTACGTTTGGGTTGGGACCTTTCTCCTGATTTCTATGTTAATAATTATCCTTAACTGACAAGTTTCTGCACGGTTTGGTGAGTAATGAAAGTTTATAGAACTTAGGTTTTTTCTCCACTTCTGATCCTTACTTTAGTTGCTAAAATTCATAGACCTAAAATATTTCCCAACTCTATCCCTTCCTGCCAGATCCCAAAGCTTTGTCGAATAGATTTTTTATATAAAAGAAAAAAAGCTTGTTCTTTATAAGAAAATTGTTTATTTTCTTGAATATTGTTTCTTCACGTTATCAATTTTGCAAGATACTGATTTTTCCCCTTATGTTTGAACAAATATTGCAGTATGGATATTTCAGAGGATAAATTTTTATCATACTTCTGGTGGTGTTATAACAGACTACAGGTAATTGTATTAGTTTTGGCCAATAAGGTACACATAATTTTGTCAACTGTGCTAGGCTTTTGAGGTCTATGGTATAAAAAACTTAATGTTTAAGAGCGGTCTTAATGCATCTCTACTGATATCTTTTATTTATAATGTTTAAGAGCGGTCTTAATCAGACATCATTGTTCTTTTCAAAATTATTCCATAGCTATCCAGTCAATGGACCATTTTGATCCTTTTTATAATTATTCCCTGTTCTTTATTATACTCACCTTCTAACATTAAAAATAGGATTAGGCTGAGTTCGTTTTAATTTAATCTGGGTGTAATTGATATATGATTTGTGTTTTGCTATGCAGGAGAAAACTGATGATGATATGCCGATGCCAAATTATTTTCGTTTTCTTTCCTTGCTTGCATTCAAAATTTTTGTAGCGGAACAGGTTAGTTTAAACTGCTCATTATCTTAATTAATTCCAATGCTTGTTATATTGGTGGTACATACAAATGATGGTGCTTTAATACTTGTGCGCATCTTAGGATCTTGCTCCTTTCTTCATCATTTTGGTTCTGACCCCTTGTTCTGCCTTCTTTAGCAATAATATGATGTTTTGCCTTTATTTGTTGATATTTAACTCAATACATGTTTTTCTATCTCTTAAGATAAATCACAATTTAGATAATATATTCTTGTTTCTAAACTTTCAGGTGCATGTTGCCATTCTGGAAGTCGGTTTAGGAGGGAAATTTGATGCAACTAACGTGGTATGGCTCAGAAACATTAGCACTTTGATTCTCTGTTGTAAAAGAAAATGCGCTTCCTATTACCATCATATTTTTTTATGGCTGCCTAATATTTTAGGCATTTTTTGTTTGCTTATGTAATGATTGCAATGAAGATTTTTGTAGTTGAGTGAATTAGAAAATATATTTAATTTTGATAGCGTTATTCAGGTTCGAACACCTATTGTGTGTGGGATCTCTTCACTTGGATATGATCATATGGAAATACTCGGTAAGTTGTTCTTTTAGAAAATACGTTTGTTTGTTGATTTAACCTGAATCATAGGTGTCTACAAAGGTTACATAGTAAAAATAAGGGTTTTATATAATTAAATATAGGCTGCTAAAAATTTTTATGTTGCATATTTAGCACAAATTAGTATGCATGTACGGGCAAATCCCCTTACTCTTATAAATTGTCACTCTTGTTTTAATTCCATTCAAGTTCTAAGAATATTACATAAAATTAAATTATTCTCAGCCACTCTCCTCGTCACTATCTACAAGTTGCAAATAATCACTGAAATTTTACTAATGTTGGCGAACCACTGCCATACATTACCTCATTATACTGTTATCAGACATGTTAATGTTGTCACTGCCACTTCACCCTGCTGTTTCACTGCCGGCCCATTCAATATCACGTCCATTCATCCCTGCAGCATGGTTGCTTTACGCAAGCTTATGGTGGGAGGGAAGGAGGAGAGATTAGCTTCTAAATTTTATTTAGTAATATTGTAGTAAGAATGATGTATGGTTGGATACTTGCCGTGTATCCATTTATGATTGCCCCGTCTATCAAAGTGGCTTTTTAATAGGAGGATGAGTTGGGTTATAGGAGTGTAAATACAAATGTTTGGGTGTTAAATATGCAACATAGTCAAACTTTTGTTGCTTTTAGCCCCCTAAAAAACAATATCAGTGTAGCTTATATACCTTTTCCAACTATTGATTAACTTTACCATGTGTCTATATTGATGTTGATGCCTGTAGCTGCTGCTTTTATGTGTTGAAAATAACTGTATTCAGAAGAACTTGGGTATATAATAAACATCAAATGCCTATTATCCTGTTGTTTTTATACTTAACAGCCATATAATATATTTAGTTTGGCATGGTTATTAATATTAATACACTACTAGATAGTAAATTAATGTAAAAATAAACACATCTTGCTAATGACCGAGCATGATTGCTTGTACAAACGAGCAGAGCCTCGTTAGGTGATGGTGGTCAATCTCAATCCTCAGCTGATACCTATTTTTATTGTCTTACATGTCATTTCATGTATAAGCAGGCAATACATTGGGAGAAATTGCTGGGGAGAAGGCTGGCATCTTTAAGGTTGTTTTTCTGTATAATTTTGGAGATGCTATATATCTGCTATGCCTAAAATTGTATCCCTCATCCCGAATAAGCTTTCTCGCTTACCTTATTTCTAATTTTTCCCTTTTTCATAGCAAGGAGTTCCAGCTTACACTGTAACCCAGCCTGAAGAAGCAATGTCGGTTCTTAAGGCTAAAGCATCTCAATTAGGAGTAAGCTCCGTTTGAAGTTTGAACAAAGTCATATATACTTTTGACTAGGCTATGTTTCTTTTTTTTTGGGATAAACTATAACTTTGGATTGAGTTGTGCAGAAACATGACAACATTATCTATTCTATTCTACTGCAGATATCTCTTCAAGTTGCATCACCTTTGGATCAAGGATTGCTGAACGGTCAAAAACTTGGACTTGATGGTGAGCATCAGTATATAAATGCTGGCCTCGCAGTAGCAATGTCACACACTTGGCTTCAGAAAACTGGAGATGCAGAAGGCATATTTTCTGAAAACACTAAGGTCAATATTAATGGATATTCAGGTTTGCATCTTCGCATCAACCTTGAGAAATTTACCACTGATGTTGTTCTGCATGGCAACAGAGTAGTCTGCCAGAACAGTTCATAAGAGGACTTGCATCAGCCAGTCTACAAGGACGGGCACAAATAGTTCCAGATCCACATTTTGACATGCAAAGCTCAAGCCATGGTTCTGGTGGTTTGTTTTTTTATTTAGATGGAGCACACAGTCCAGAAAGTATGGTGGAGTGTGCAAGATGGTTTTCTCATGCTGTGAAAGAAAATGCTTGCCTTGTCAATCTTCCTGAGGAACAACCTAATAATGATTGCAGCGCACGGGTGAAATCTCTTCATTTTTTTAAAATCTTCATTAATGTGTTAGCATTTTAATTTATCATGGCATTTGTAATATCTTGAATTTAGTAATATTAAATTTGACCAACATTTTTGACATTTTTTTTCCTCCGGAAAGTAGGTGCAGATACTTTTATTCAACTGCATGCCAGTGAGAGACCCTGAAATGCTGCTTCAACCCTTCATAAATACTTGTTCTGACCATGGTAGCAAATTTCATGTGCTTTTAAATCTTTGACTGTCTCCTATGAAACTCATGCAAATATAATACTGATATTGAAGCATAAACACACATAATTGGTGAGGGTCTTGTTTTTTGGATTCCTTCAACTTTAAGCCTATTGCCTGTTTGAATATTGTTATACTTCTGTGTGAGCTGTTGAAATTTAGTGGCCTTCCAACGTTTCTCTGTTTTCCATGATCCAATTCCAATCCAATTCCAATATTTTTCTTAAAAAAAAAAAATAACTTCAAAGATTTTCTCTTATAAATTGCTATTCTAAACTGCTTCTTGCAAAGTTTTTTTTAATCTATGTATTACGTTCTTATTGGGTTTAATCCATATCTCTAATAGAATCTTGGCGTTTTTTTACAAATAGTATCAAATCCAACAAAGATTATTTATTAGTAAAAGAGATAGGTAAAAGAATTGTATGAATTATGAATATGGTTTCTCAAGTAGTTGATAAAATGTCATTAATTGAAAAGTCATTTTTGAAGCAATGGGCTGAAGTCTGACTTTGGCAGTGAGATAGATCATAATTTGAGAGAATTTTAGACTTTTTAAGGCACGAGCATTCAAAATAGCAAGTGCGTTGTTAAGAATAGCTTATTAAAAATTGAAATTTGTTTGGATTATATGATTTATCATTTGATAATAGAAGAGTGATGTTAACAACTTTTATGTCATAAGGGAAAGTTAAGAGATGGTTGCAAGCACAATGCCGTGAGAAGTTTGGAATGATTTCTTTATTGATGATTGAATGGCATGATTTTGTGAAGGTATTTAAAAACTAATTTTTTTCCCAACAGCTGGATTAGCATCACTGATGCGGACATCAGCACGAAGATTTGGCGCATCTATCACAGGAGGCGTCGTAAATCGACGGCTCTAATTTAAATTGTCATTTATGAGTTATTTTATGAATTTTAGCTCTTATTTTATGTTATTTC